GCGTACGTGTATATGCGCGCGCGCTCGCGGACGTATATGTGCGTGCTCAATGCATATATGTACGCGTATTTAAATTATATAAATTTATTTACACGAAAATCTTCGTGAACCACGAAAGAGTATAATACAAAAATAGAGTTGCAGCTTTTTTTCTATCCTCTTGAAATAGCTGTTTCAAGTAACACTGATCGAAACACGTAAAAACGGTGTAGAATTTAAAATGATAATGTAAAAACGAGATATTTCACTGATACCGCTTGAAATTAAACTGAATGTTGATCGTACAAACCGTGCCACATGCTAAGATTTGCTCTCGTTCAGTATCAATGTGTAATCGTCAAGCATTCACACTTAAACGTCACATTGTATCCTTCTGATATAGTTCTTTGAGAAAGGTTACGGCATGAAAAGTAAAAATTTTGAAAAGGCAAGATATGCAATATGTTGGATGCGATTAGCCAAATATAGAGCGAGACGTTGGCCGGGCCAACACGTTCACGCACGCAGATTTGGTGACAACCACTTGGACAGTACACTTATGCGTATCGAATATCGTTACCGAAATCACCATTCATCCCGAAACAATCCCGGATTCCATGTGCCTTTATCAATAGGTGTTCTCCGCAGCTTCGTTTACTGTCTCGTTCTTCGGGTGTAAGTACCGTGAGCGCACACGGTTGTGCGCAAAAAACTCAACCTTATTCCTCGTTCTCAAGCTATGAATAGTTAGCCATAAGCATCTGCCCTCAATCCTCTACATCATTTGGATCAATGTGAGTCGCGCCGTTGTAGAATTGTATAAAATTCTTACCAAGAAGATGAATCAACTCAACACAATTTCTCAAGGAAACTACAAAATGGCCGACACAGAAAGGCACATGCCGTAGCTCGATGCATTGTGGGTCGTAAGTATGTAGCCCGACTATAGTGGTATCTGGCGGTTAAATTACCACGACTTGTGCCCGGTAAGTTTAAATTTTTTTTAAAACGTTCGTTCCGGTGATTCTTGGTGTGACAGCTTTTGGGAATTTCACATTTCGTAACTTCGGGACTTTGGAATTTCGATACTTTGAGATTTTTAAACCTTGGACTGAAATTTTACAACTTTGGCTTTGGAATTTCAAAACAGCTGTCGCCACAGTTTGTAGGGCCCACACTAAAAATCGATATTATTGAAAATGACTATAGTAAATCATACGTCCCATTATACATCGCCACGTGTTTGCAATTCAAGAATTTCTAGATTCCTAAATTTCTTATTTAAAAAATATTTAAAAAATTGGAAATTTAGGCAAATGACCGCCCCTCCCTGTTCCCTCAAAATGCGGAACTGAAGATAAATGTTTCATTTGCGAGATAATGACGGTAATATGTTGGGACTTTGGAATTTTGAACCTTAATTCGTTTCATCAAAATTCAATCCGGTTATATACCAAAGTTATATTTATGCATATGAACATTAATATCTAAAGATACAGATATAAGTATGTAAATCAGTATTTTGGCAACAAAAGCAACAAATATACTATGTTCGCAGAAATGAAAATGTATTTACTATTAAAAAATACCTATTACTCACATATACGAATACAAAACAAATGAAAAACAATAAAAAATGGTAATACGTTAATTGCTTTAAGAACTAATAATGTACTTAAATACTTAACTATACCATTATTTCAAAAATTACTTCTACTTATATGCAAGTTCTCATATACAGAACAAAGATATTTTATTAACAGATATTCTTTTCTTCATAACATCAACTTAAACAGTACACTGTATCTTTTTGTTTAGTAAATATTATTATATAAAAAGGTAGTAGAAAAAATAAGTCACAATAGTGGTGAATTACCATTTATTTAGAACAGCCACATTTTATCGAAAACAATTGATCTGTTATCAATACTGTTTTAAAAAGGAAAAAATTGGCAATTCTCCCTCAAAATAAATCCATTACAATAAAACATGATTCTTTCAATAAATAATACAATCAATGTGGAATCAAAGGCACAAAACTTGGAAATGACAATGTAAAAACCAGGCTCATTCACCTTACTATATAAACAAAACAAAGCATTCAGCATTACACACAAATAAATCAATCTGGAGTCTAAATAAATTCTTTTCAATGTTTCTCTGAACACGTCTATAGCGCCGAGATACATGCTACCTAATCCGAAAAAGAAGAGCCATCCGTTACTATTTGTATCTATTCCTTGTATACGTATTTTCTCAAATTACTAATTAATTATCACTACTACTTTAAAATGTGATGAGTTTAGTGAATTATCTATCATAAGGCTGCAAAATATTGCTTCCTACAACCTTACAAATGTCTGATTAGAATATTGTGCCTATATCGTTACTGTTATATATTTTTTATTGAAATATATATGTGTATATAATAGGATATCTCACGATGTATCAACAAGTATTAGTGACTGATACAGATAATTTAAGATGATAAGGTGTTGATGAAGGTGGAGTGTTCTTAGATAGTGGCATGGGTGTTTGCTGGTTAAAAACCATGGACTTTCAATTGGTCAGGTTTGGCCAGACCTGACTTTGTTAGCCACTGGCATATATTTTCTCGCTGGTCCCCCTGCAGCTGCAACACCTCCCCGTACTCTGGGTGCTCGATTACTGTCCCATTGCAGGCGAACTCCTAGAAATACAAATTTCCTGTTATAACTTAACTTACTTATATTTATTATTCCTTCACTGATTATGGATACTTAAACAAAGAAATAATATAGTCACATTGATAGTTCCAATTTCGAAGTTCAGTATTTTTGTATAATCTTTTATTAATAAGTAGAAGAATAAAAAAAGAAAATGATAAAAAGAGATCAAAAAGTAGTATTTACAAATATATATATTATGTCTGTAAATTATGTAAACATGTAAATAGGACATAATAATTTTTAATATATACACCCTCACAAAATAAGAGCCATAATTTTCAATAAAAAAAATTTGTGCAGATCTTTTCTGTAAAATTTTTGTACTTTAAATATATATTTAATGTCTACTTGTATTTATGTAAACATGCAGTAATTATAATTAATATATTGTTCAAAATCTACTACAATAAAATGTAAAAAATCATCTATGTATGTCAAATCATCTCATGTATGTCAAATTACACGCGCGCGCGTGCGCACATGTCACATACACAGATGAAACTCTAAAATTTCTTCAAAAAGTATTAAATTTGTAAAATACTTTTATAAATACAATTATCTACAAAATTATATATTTAAATTGAAAACATTGCGAAATTTTGTGTGTATACACTTAAGTATGACACACACAGTATTTCACTCCTATGTGAAGAACACAAAAATGTTAATAAAAGATAAATTGATTAATTATATTTATTTAGAAAATGTATGTTGTGTATAGTAATTGCAATTTGTTTTTAAAGTCATTCATATTTTATGCTAGGTAGTTGTTTGCATCAGTTCTATTTTTAGCATAGTATCTGACACTGACAAAATATTCAACACACAAAATTCGTATAACAATTACAACTTTGTTACCTTTTTACATGCTCTCACTATTTTCTTCAAGTCATATTCAGATGAAAGCCCTTGCACTGTTGTTAAGGTCTTACGACCATTTCGTTGTTGGATCCTTATATGCACAAGACCGTCTTGGACATCATCATCTGAACCCTTGATTGCATCTGCAAAGGGGTCTAAAAAAAAGAACACAAAATAATTCACATGATATCCGAATTCGTTCGATTTTACATTTGCACAGTAGATTTTCTCTTAAAACGTATGACTCATCTATAACGAGAAAAAGAATACGATTTAAAACGTTAATTGCGTACTATGATGCAAGCGAAAGACGCCATCGCCATTTTGGTAAAACTATCTTCGAGAATATGATCAACTGCAAAATAGAAAATATAATACTCACCGAATGTGTTGAGATTCTGGATGGACATACGACAAACAAAATATATCCCTGGAAGATATAGAATTGCAAAGTGCAAATGCAGCTGAGAAAATTCACGGATGACGTAGGATAACAGAAGCACCACGCAAGAATACTGGTAAATCCAAAAAACCTTATGCAGAGGCTGAACTTAACCGGAAGTAAAAGTTGCATTTGTCATGAACAGTGGGTGGGGTTACGCATGCGCACTGTCGGTTTCATAAGCTGCATTTACATGAAACAAATGTTGCATCGTTTAATTGGTTATCTGTTTGTTATTATTAATATTGTAAATGTAAATTGTATTAACAGCTTATATAAATAAAAAGAATCCCCTCCTCTTTACATACATTTTCGACATGAAATGAATATCATACCTAAGTTCACGAGAAAATACAATAACTATAGAACAATTCAAACAAATTAATAGTTCTCGAAGTTCATCTATATTTATTTTTACTTTCGTGATCATATACGTGGCGGTGAAAATAAACGAATAATGAAAACCTAATGATGGAGTAAATGTACATATGTGCATACAAAATAATATAAATATTATATTTCATTCTTTTAATATGTCATATAATATATGTATACCAACAAAAATGTATTCGGCCTAATGAACGAAATATTCTGCTATCGATAAGAATTAGAAATCATGAAATTTTTAGCCACTGAGTATATACTTTTAATATCAAGTTTATCACAAAAGCGCATGTGCTTTTCCATAGACTACATTGTATATTGAATAGAACAGAGATAACATGCGCAGAATGAATGAGAGTTTGTCATGTTAGACATGTTAGGTTTTATTATATATGTGTAATTCGCATCTGTTAAATACATACATTACGTACACAAGCATAAAACTACGATTAACATATAGCGCGCTATAGCGGTAGATTTTAGAAACATTCATGTTTAGTCTTTTAGTTGTTACAGACTTGATGGTTTTAATGTATGGTATGAAATGAAATAACCAATGAAATGGTCGTTTCTTCAGACTCAATTATACTGCATTTAATTTAGTTGTATATAATACATTTATTATTTTATATTGTATTATAATTTAAAATAAGTATTAAGTAATTAATATATATTATAATTCATTGCTTCTGTTCTACTGTTATCCATGAAAAGTTAAAATAAATTTTTATAAAGAAACTGACAAATACATCATGTTGGATTTTTAAAGAAGAATTAAAGATTGGACTTAATTAATTTTAAATTTATCTACATCAAACTATGGCCAGCCCACGAACTCGAAGAGTTTTGAATGAACTTAAACCTAAAGATGAAAATAATGTAATGTATTTATTTAACTTTTTTTGTTAATACTGTTCCATATGTTAATGTCATTGCATATCATTGTTTTACAGAAATGTTTTGAATGTGGTACTCATAATCCACAGTGGGTTTCTGTTACCTACGGTATATGGATTTGTCTTGAATGTTCTGGGAAACACAGAGGACTTGGTGTTCATTTATCATTTGTTCGATCTATTTCCATGGATAAATGGAAAGACTTAGAATTAGAAAAAATGAAAGTTGGTGGAAATAGAAATGCTCGTGAATTCTTTGAATCTCAACCAGATTGGGATGATAATATGTCAATAACACAAAAGTATAATACTAAAGCAGCAGCATTATATAGAGATAAGGTATGTATAGTTCTTTAAAACTGTTTTAATAAATATTATAATAAATAAAAAATAAGTATATACTAATTTTTGTAAACACTTAAACTTATTTTGTGTGAATTATAAGATTGCAACATTAGCGCGTGGAGAAAATTGGAGTCCTACTACTTCCATGGCTAAAGATTTTCAACCTTCGATGTATTGGGAGAATCAACAAGAAAATTCATCATATCAGGGCGATGCGTCTAATTCTTATCAAAATTTTGTTGCAAATAGTTATAAATCTCAAACAGAAGCCTTCTTTGCCAGAAAACAGACTGAAAATGCTAATCGCCCTGAGTAAATATTCATTTTTATATACATTTAATGCTTTTCAAATTGGAATTAACATAATATTTATGAATGCAAAGAATGTGTTGAATTGATAATATGTGAGTTCATTTATATTTCTACAGTAATATTCCACCTAGTCAAGGTGGTAAATACGGAGGATTTGGTTATCAAATGGAGGCTCCACCTAGAAGTTCATCGCAAGAATTTTTTGACACTGCAGTTTCTTCTTTAGCAAGTGTAAGATAATTAATTATGAATAATTAAGAAGTAATTAAATAAGTTTCATAACTTATACATTTTTAGGGATGGTCAATATTTTCTTCATCTGCATCAAAAATAGCAAGTAAAGCTACAGAAAATGCTATGAAAATTGGAGAATTTGCTTCACAAAAGGTATAAGGAATATGAAAATTATGACTTTGTTAATATGAAAGTAGAAACATTAATTTGTTTTGTATTTAATATATTTTGCTTATATATTTAGGAAAAGTTGCGTTTTTAGTTATATTTTTATTTTTTGCTTCGTTTTATTTTGTTTTTACTAGGTTCGTGATGGTACTTTGTTGGAAGAAGTTGGAGCTCAAGTTAATAGTTTAGCTGCAAAGGTAGATAGTTAAATATTATAAATGTGTTTGTTTTAATATGTATTAAACACTTTGATTTTTAATTAATACTGTATTGTACAATGAAATTGATGTGAATCATTTTCCTTTTTTAAATTTTAAATGCTAAACTTCTACTCATGTTTTTTAATAATTGATAAATAGTTTGTTCTCGTTCATGTTTTAATATAGGTCGGAGATTTAGGAAGAAGAGGATGGGGTGATATTGGGGGAAAAAATTCACTTGAACAAAACCAATATAATTCGACAGAAAATTATCAAAATTCTACTGTTTACCAAAATTATGATGCAGTTCAACCTCATTCCACTGAAAAGACATCTTTAATGAAAACGTCACAGTCAAAGTAAGTTAATTAAATGCTAAAAATTAATATTTATATTTTTCTTTATTAAATTAGAAAAAATACTTCTAAAGAATTTATTCATGAATACATAGTTTTATTAACTGAAAAATTTATAATTGTACAATCATGGGTATATTTTATTTTACATAGTTAGAAATATTATTTTTTTTTTAGTAAGCATGAAATAGTGAACTAATTTTAATATAAAATATAAACTTATTACATTTTAGAACAAATGTATCAACTGCAAATTCTTCAAATTATGAATGGGATTGGGGTAATGATACAAAGCAAAATGTAAATGAAACTACGGACTCTAAATCAGTTGCAAAAAAATCAAGGAATAAAGTTAAAGAAGAAGATCTAATTAATTTTGGCACTGATAATAATCCATCCAGTTGGGATTCAAAATTGGAAGATGATGCATGGGAAATACTAAAAAATTAATTGTTATTTCTGAATTAGCAAATTTATATTAAAATTCAAGATCTACAAAAGTCTTTTTCATCATATAGATTTTGAATTTGTATGAATTACTGTAACAAGGATTATTGAAATGAATTTATTTTTATTTGAATTCTACCTGTCCATTAAAGACAAATATACATATGTATGAAAAAGTAAATATTCATTTATAAGCATGTGTGCACATCTGTATGAATTTGTTATACGCTTTTAAAGAGCGTAAATAAACGAATATGTTGTAAATTAATGTATTCTTGAGTTTTGGTTTCAAGTGAACACTTACCAAAGCAAACAGGTACATTAGTACTATATATTTATGTTAATAGTTGTGCCAGCTTCAGTTTATTTACTCTGCATTTAATACATCTTATTATTAAACATATGTAATTTGTGTTCATACAATCTATGTAATTTGTATTTTAGAAGTGACAGATATGCTAAATAATTTTTTTATAAAGGAAGAAATACACAATGACTCATTTATTTTACATTTGCATGAATATGTTATCCGAAATAGAATAATTGCATATTATTACAATCATGTATAGTAGATGTTATAAACATTTTGCTGCAAGTAGTTCATTTTATTATTTTCTTTTATACACAAAATGATGTTTAATACAAAGTATTAATCTATATCTTATAAAATGATTTACAATCACACTTTACTATCTGGAACTTCTAAAGTCTTTCTGTTGCGTACAAACAGTTTTGTATCAAAAACATATACATAAAATATACCTCTGTTAAAATAAAATTTATTAACATTGTTATGTACATAATCACATAAAATAACTAAACCTATTATAAGGAATATGTATTCTTCCCTGGATATACTTTCCTAATGTGTCTCTTATTATAAATACTACCAACGTATTCCAAAAGATGTTTCTGATATTTTGGCCAAGATTTCTCTTCTATTTTGGATAACAAAGAATATAGAATATTCATATCTTCTGTTGATAATTCAAAGAATGGTGGTTCTTCAGAACACGAACGATAAAGAAAATTGTATATTGCTCTAGAATAATAAAAGATAATTTTTAATAACATTAGATATATATTATTCATAAACTGGCTACAAAAGATCAGTAAGATAATACATATACCTCAAATCATAACCTAATTCTGAAGGAGGTGGATGATCTTCAAATAACTGTATAAATAATAACGCTTCTGGAACAAGACTATCTCCAGGATGATATAAGCCACAATTTAACCATTTGTTTAATAACTGATCTTCACTTTCTGCTATTAATGAATATTCAGCAATTTTTGATTCAATGTGTTCAGGAGAAATGTGTGGCAACATTTCTGATAAAGCAGCAATATTGTCAGGTCCATATTTTCTTAAAGCTTCTAATAATGTCTTTTTGTCTTTAGTATTCCACTTTACATTTGATTCGAGTTCATCTTCATTAGTTTCCGTATTATTTTTCTTCTGTTGTCGTTTATTGTTTTTTATATTTTTTTTAGTTTTAGAAATGTTCATTTTTACATTTAACAGTACAAAAGGACACAATGCATTTCCTTCTATTTTCTGTATAATAGAATAAGAGTCACGATCACAAAGTTCTGTTTGATGTAAACAAATATTTTTATTTATGTCGGCAAATCTGAATCATGGTGTGTGTAATATCGGTGTATATTCACTCTTTAAAGACGATCATTGTGTAGTATGCATGTATACGCTTGTATGCATGTGTATGTGATCTGCCGTCAGTACAGTCAAAGTACTGTAGCTACGGTGCTATATTTGCTATAATGCGGATACGAGTTGGGTACCACATGTTCTGAATTCAATTCCTTTCTCTTGAGACATTTCCACTGTTGTATAGACAGCTGTGATAGCTGTTTTAATATAAACTGCCATATTTAGCTTAAGGTAAATTTTAATATTATATTACAGGATTATATTTAATAATACATTAACAATGTGACATTAACAATCATCTAAAAATCAAAAATTTAGTTTCTTAGTTTGAGATATTAAATATTTACATTAGAATACTATTTTTTCACTTATATTTTTAATGCTATTTGTTCCCATATGTTCAAATAATCAAAATGTTACATTATTTTATTTCAGAAACTGCAATAAAGATGACTGTAACAATGAATGCTAAACAAGTTCGACAAGCTTATATTGACTTTTTTAAAAGCAAAGGTCATGAATATGTTCATTCTAGTTCTACAATACCACATGATGATCCAACATTATTATTTACAAATGCTGGAATGAACCAGGTAAGATCTTAATATAAATATCATTTATTAAAATTTATCCTTTTTCGTATTTATTGTGGTCTGTTTCAGTTTAAACCAATATTTTTAGGAACTGTGGATCCAAATAGTGATATGGCTAAGTGGGTAAGAGTTGTTAATAGTCAAAAATGTATTAGAGCTGGAGGAAAACATAATGATTTGGATGATGTTGGAAAAGATGTTTACCATCATACATTTTTTGAAATGATGGGAAATTGGTCCTTTGGAGATTATTTTAAAGTAATGTATTATACAAGCAATATATATAATTTATTGCAATATTATCATTACAATTTCCAGACTTGTGTTTTATTTCTCAGAAAGAAATATGTACTTGGGCTTGGGAGTTTTTGACAGTAAAATTAAGATTACCAGCTGATCGATTATATGTAACTTATTTTGGAGGAGATGAGAAAAATAATTTAGATTCTGATGAAGAATGTAAAGCAATCTGGCTTTCTTTAGGGTAATTGATTGATTATTATTAAATTTCAGCTTATTAATAACTGTCTTCTACAAGTGGAATAATCAATTCTTTGTCATTTTCTTAGAGTGTCTCCTAATCATATATTGCCAGGAAATATGAAAGATAATTTTTGGGAAATGGGAGAAACAGGTCCATGTGGACCATGTAGTGAGATACATTATGATCGTATTGGTAATAGAGAAGCAGCTCATCTAGTGAATCAGGATGACCCTGATGTTCTTGAAATTTGGAATCTTGTATTTATACAGTTTAATAGGTATGTAATTTATAATTCATGAAATATGTCTCATTTATTTAATGTTTCATATTATTTTAGAGAATCTGATGGATCTTTAAAATCATTGCCAAAGAAACATATTGATTGTGGGCTGGGCTTAGAAAGATTGGTATCTGTTATTCAAAATAAACAGGCTAATTATGATACAGATCTGTTTATACCACTATTTGATGCAATACAAAAAGGTACAGGTGCACCACCTTATCAAGGAAAGGTAGGCATAGATGATAAAGATGGAATAGATATGGCATATAGGGTTTTGGCAGATCATGCACGAACTATTACAATTGCACTTTCTGATGGAGGTGTACCAGATAATACAGGTAGAGGGTAAGTTAAGTATATAAATACTTAATACTTATTCATATACTATGCTATGTCACCTATAACATAAATTACAATTTAGGTATGTGCTGAGAAGAATCTTGAGACGCGCTGTGCGTTACGCAACTGAAAAATTAAATGCTAAACCTGGCTTTTTTGGAACATTAGTAAACGTGGTTGTAGAAATTCTTGGTAAATATTTATAATCTTAATTTTTTAATTTAATTTACATAACTTCTTCTATTAAATAATTATATTATAATTCTAATTATTTATAGGTGATACCTTCCCCGAAGTAACAAAAGATCCACAGTACATAATTGATACCATTAATGAAGAAGAAGAACAGTTCCTTAAAACTTTATCACGTGGTCGCAATTTATTGCATCGTACTATCGCAAAATTAGAATCATCAAATATTCTCCCAGGAGATATTGCATGGCGTTTATATGATACATACGGTTTCCCAGTAGATTTAACACAACTTATGACTGAAGAAAAAGGATTAAAAATTGATATGGCTGGATATGAGGAAGCAAAGAAACAAGCTCAGGTATTGTATAGAATAGTTTACAGTAATAATTTGGAAATATATTATTTATAGAATATTTAAAATTACTTTATCTGTTACAGCTTATATCTCAAAATAAATGTGGTGGTGTAGATGATCAAATTAACTTAGATGTTCATGCAATTACTGAACTACAAAATAAAGGAATTAAACCTACTAACGATTTGCCAAAATATAATTACACAGTTACCGGTAATAAATTATACGAGGAATACGAATTTGCTCCATGTACTGGTACTGTAATTGCCCTTAGACGTAATAAGACTTTTGTTGATGAAGTATCATCGGGAGAAGAAGTTGGAATTTTGTTAGATCAAACAAACTTTTATGCAGAACAAGGTGGACAGATATACGATGAAGGATTTTTAGTCAAAACTGATGATGAAGTAAATAAATAAAATACTTGAACGTATGTATATGTATACATTATAAGATATTAACAATATTTATTTTTCAAGGATACCGAGGTTCGTATAAAGAATGTTCAAGTTAGAGGTGGCTATGTTTTGCATATTGGAACCGTTGGTCAAGGAACATTAAAAAAGAACGACAAGGTTTATTTAAACGTAGATACTACTAGAAGGAGATTCTTAATGAGCAACCACACTGCAACTCATGTTCTTAATTACGCGCTTCGAAAAGTATTGGGCACGGAAGTTGATCAGAAAGGTTCTTTAGTTGCACCTGATCGTCTTCGTTTTGATTTTACAAATAAAGGAGCAATGACTTCAGAACAAGTAAAAAGAGTTGAAGAAATAACGAACAGTGTAGTAAAAGAAAATAAGAAAGTTTATGCTAAAGAAAGCAGTTTAGCCCTAGCAAAGACTATCCAAGGTTTACGTGCTATGTTCGAAGAAACGTATCCTGATCCTGTGAGAATTGTTAGCATTGGTATACCAGTTGAAGAATTAGAGAAAGATCCCTTAGGTCCTGCTGCAACACAGACTAGTGTAGAATTTTGTGGTGGAACACATTTACATTATACGAAACATATGGAAGATTTTATCATAGCTAGTGAAGAAGCTATTGCTAAAGGTATTAGACGTATAGTAGCTCTTACTGGCCCTGAAGCAACAAAAGCTCAGAAGAAGGCAGCCGTGTTGCAAAACCATTTGGAACAACTTCAAACAACTATAGCTAATGATAAGAATGGTACTAATAGCAAAGAATATGTAAAAAAGATCGTTGAATTAACAGATGACGTCTCACGTGCTACAATTTCAAGTTGGAAAAAAGATAATATGCGCAAAATGTTAAAAGATTTAAAAAAGATGCTTGATGACAAAGAACGTTCAGCAAAAGCTGCAATCGCTAATGCAGTCGTGGATACTATTCAACAAATAATTCAGCAAAATGTTGGGTGCCCGGTATTGGTCGAAACATTACAGGCATATAGTAATACCAAAGCGTTGGATTCTGCTCTTAAAAAAATAAAAGCTATATCTCCAGAAACAAGTGCATTACTTGTAACGGTAGATCCTGATGCTAATAAAATTTTTGCACTTAGTATGGCATCTAAGTCTGCTATAAATAAAGGATTGAAAGCAAATGAATGGATTCAAGAAATTGCTCCGCTTATGAAAGGAAAAGGAGGTGGAAAACCCGAGTCTGCCCAGGCATCGGGAACTAATATATCATGTTTAACAAAATTAATACATACCGCAAAGAATTTTGCTAATTCGAAACTCGGAGTTATAAGTAACAATGAGATTGTTACAAATAACTATAATCAGTCAAAGGCTAGTCAAAACTCTGTATGTTCTAAAACTTCGAAGGGGAAATTAATACTTTCTGGTAATACTGGAAGTATTAAATATTATCGTGCTCAAATAATAGCACAATACAGTGATAAAGAATTGGTTACGAATGAGTGTAAAAATGACGGTACAACTTCTAACAGCATTAAATTAGAAGGGAGTGGTTTTGAACTATTTGATAGCAATGCAATTGCTTTCTACTTAGCAACTGATCAATTAAAATGTTCAAAAGATACTTTCATGTTCAGTGAAGTTTTACAATGGTTAAGTTATGCAGATAATCATATTTTGCCAGCAGTATCAGGGTGGGTTATTCCATGCATCGTGAAAAATGTACCAAATAACATGAAAGCAGGTATCAAGACATCCAAGGAAGATCTTCTTTCTTCTTTAACTAAATTGAATAAATTATTGTTTACAAAAACTTATTTAGTCGGAGAAAGAATCAGTCTTGCAGATGTTGCTATTTTTACTGCCTTGATACCATTATATGAACATGTATTTGATTCAAACTATAGGATACAATATCCAAATTTAACTAGATGGTTTCTTACTATTTTAAATCAGCCGCAAGTAACCAGCGTATTAAAAAATTTTAAAATGTGTGAAAAAGCTGTTAAAAATTGAGTGTTAAAATATTATATTCTTTAAAGGAATGGGTTTTATACATTTTTATTATATTATTGTTACAAATATGTATCATTAATCAAAACATTTTTTTGTTACAAAGCATCTGACTTTTTACTTTGGTCATTGTCCTTATCATATAATATTCTTATTTCCTTTAATAACATAGCTATATTTGTACCTATTTTTGCAGAAATTGGAATAATTGGTAAATCAACCTTTTGTTCGAGTAATTTTAAATTTTCCTATAATAAAATAATTCAATCATATTACTGTATTCTTAATTGTTCAAGAAATTATTAGTTAAAAAATGTATTGTGTCCTACCGTTGCAACTGGTAAATCCATTTTATTTGCAGCAATGAGCATTGATCTCTTAGTTAACTTTACATTAAATTGTTCTATTTCATATTTTAGTGTTTCAAAATCCTTCCATGGTTCATCTGAAGTAGCATCCAAAACGAATAATAGAATTTTGCAACGTTCTACGTGTTTAAGAAACTGTATACCAAGCCCTCTATTCTTGTGAGAGTCAGATATAAGTCCCGGCAAATCAGCCACTGTAAAGTTAATACACTTTTTTATTGAAATATTATTTTAAAGGAAGTTTTTTGATTGTATTACGAACCTGCAATTTGTTCATAATCATCATATAACACCATTCCTAAATGAGGTCTCAATGTTGTGAATGGGTATGCTGCCACTTTTGGTCTAGCTCTAGATATAGCCCGTAATAATGTACTTTTACCTGCATTTGGTAAACCAATCTAAAATAAAACAGTTGCATAATGAGATTTTTTACTCATATTCATAATCATCATAAATGCATAAATATCTACAGTCTAGTTATGCTAGTAAAATAAATATATAATTTACATACTAATCCTACATGTGCCATGCTACTTATTTCCAATACATATTGCATTTCTTCTCCTTCTGCACCATATTCACTTATACGCGGTGACTGCTGCACATCAGATTTAAAATATGCATTTCCGTGACCACCAGCACCACCTCTTGCAGCAATAAACATCATTCCTTCTTGATTTAAATCGCCTATTATCTTTCCATCTAGGTTGCGTATTATGGTACCTACTGGTACAGTTACTATAGTGTGTTCGGCATTTTTGCCAAAGCAGTCTTTATTTTGCCCGTTCTCTCCATCTTCAGCTTTGAGTACAGCAGAAATGTGTGAAAAATCTCTGTGATTTATTGATGCCTGCAAAACATTGAATTCATATATATTTGAATAGTAGATGATTGATTTACAAATTAAATTTTACCTGAAGAATTACATGACCACCATGTCCTCCATCTCCACCATCAGGTCCAGCATATTCATTTGACCATAATTGTAGAAATGATATATTTCCATCTCCACCTTTTCCTCCGATTGCCCTTATCTAAATAATTATACTGATTAGTAGTTGTTAAACATTATATAAAGAGAAAAGCAACTTCATTTCATACATGCTTTATATCGAGCACACTTCTCTCTGTATCTGTTTGAGACTTTGGCTTTATACTGCGTAAAGCTTTAGGAACAGGATCTTGGTTTCGACAGTATTTTGAAGCAAAAAATGTTCTACAGACGTATTTGTTTAAATTTTTCTTCACATTTAATGCAACAGCATTTGTTGTTTCTTGTTTCCAAGAAATATTTAGTAGAAATATATTTTTTGTATGACGAAAATAATTCATCTGAAAATAATCATAGTAAAATAGTTTATTAGTTATAACTGAATAATAGTTTTATTAAATTAAGATTACAATAAATTGTATTTTTAATACAGATATAAAATAGTACTATCTCGAAATTGAAACATTTAAATACCTTTCTAAAATATTTGTAATCAAATTTTGATGTATACTGATAACTCTTTTTCTATACAAAGGTATGTGGTCAGATTTATAACTTATTCTATATGTTCTCTTTTCTATTTTTGTTAATGGATATGTATATGATCGTACAAAATTGACATCATTTATAATTTCACCTGCATGATTATATAATACAATATAAAATTGAATGGGATCAAATTTTTCATTAACACTAAATGTTATATCAAATACATATGTATGACCACATATCTTATTCATATTTCTATTTGGCATATCAAAAATTTGATTTAAATTTTTCCATAAAAAATTATTGTCATTACATGCAACAACATTTATTTTCTTTTCAGGGGCAATGTTATGTACATTTGGAGATTCAGATTTAATAAATATATGTGTTAAAGCTCCAGAAGAATGAAATTGTTTATCTAAACTACGATATCCAGTTACTATATAATTTTGAAAAGAAGACCATGCAAATGGTTCTACTGCTGTTAATATAAAATTTCCATATGCTGCCATTTCAGTGATTTTCCATGAATCATCCCAACGTCTTGGTGGATTATCAATAAGTGTCCCACCTTGGCCATTGCAAAGTGTAATTAATATTTTGCCATGATCTTTTAATGAATCTGATATGTTTATAAAAAATTGCTTTAATAATTCTCTATTTTTTTCTATTCGCATTTTACCACCAACATGAGGAAAGTTAAAAATAATTTTATCAAACAATTCTGTTGTTAATATTGGATGTTGTTTCAAATTTGTTGCATCAACACCCATTAAGACACGAATCCCTGAAAAAAAAACATAGAATGTTTAATGAAATTATGATTAATGATCAAATTTTAGTTTATCATAAAAATACTAACCATTATTCGTTAAATATTCTATGTTTTTTTTTCCAAGATCTTGATTGATATTAACTTCATAGCAAGTAGCCGTGATATTAATTTTTAAATTTAAATGTAACAGTGCAACAGAAAATGAAAAATTACCTTCTCCTACTAGGAGAACATCATCATTTTCATCAAAAATACAAGGATTCATAATGTTAGTAAATCAAAATTCTATTGCTTTTCTATTAAAATAATAACACAACAGTAAATTATAAAATATAATTTAATATAAATATAAATATAAATATAAATAAACTTACAATTAATGTTAGGTATATAAAGACATATGGAAAATTACTCAAATATAAAGTACTTGATTGGTTTAATCAATTATATAATACTATGTATTTTTCTGCGTGAAATGTATTATATATTAATTTTTTGCCGCAATATTTACATTAGATCTCGATTATATTATACAATACTGTTGCAATATACATACATACTGTACTAAATGTATACATAATTGCAGACTATATACAACATACGTTGCGCCCTCTTGTCAACTTTTTGTGAACTAAAATAAAGTTAAATACTTAGCGTAAATTGAAAACGAAATTTTATTGTAATGTTTGATAACTATTAAACTTTAATGTCAAGTTAAAGTTAACATTTAATAATGTTGATGAAAATACAATAACATTTCATTTTACCTATTTATTTACACACGGTAAGTATATGTTCGCAAAAGTAAATTGAAGTATTTTTCTACTAATAAATATTTTATTATTAAATATCTTGTAACATATACTATATTTAATATATTTACATTAACTAATATATTACTTATAAGTGAACGGAATTTATTAAATTCATTGTAATTCGTTTAAGAAATACAAAATAATAATTTTTGTACATGTACATTAAATAATATAATTCATCTTGAAGTGATTTAAAATAAACGACTATTTTACTCATATCTTTGACGAAACAAGCGGAAGTTAATGATATATATAATAGCACGATGAATGAATGAACCTATTTTTATACAATAGTTCGATGAGTATGATATAAATTTAGCATCATGAATTCACTATATGATTCTGATTTTACATACGTTGAATATTTATAAATCATTGAGTATCTCAGAAAAGTTTAACCAGAAAATTCTTCTATAATACATCAAACTTATATATAAACAAATAGCACATTTGCAATAAAATTTATTGTTATATATTTTACTTTCAATCATATTTTTATTAATATTAATAAACATATAACCATTTCATTCACTTATAGCATATAATATTCTACGCAATCGATATTGTTGAGGCGTACACAGATTAATTAATTATACACGTATGCTTTGAATAAGAGTTCGAAACAATCACAATCGTGTCAGGTGTATTCAGAGCGGTCACTAGAGTTTGCGGAACCCAGGGTAAAAACTGACACTATTAAAAAAATACAGGTTCTTGTATATAATGGTCACTTGTTATATTGCATTTATTTATATGGCCTACTAGCTAAATTCAAATGTTAAATACAAAGCGCTATAATATCACGCGTTATAAAGATATGTTGCTACAGGTTGTTGCCACGTGTTGCATAACTACACTTTATATAGCCACGCAACGTCTCGCGTTATATCGCCGATTCATGATCAATTGTTATATCGCCCTATGTTGTATGAAATATTGGTACGAAATTTGATACTTAGATTACTATAATTATTTTAGTGTGTAAAAAATTGTGTAAGTTCATAAGGAGGACAAGTGCACCATTTGTTCAGCAATAACGGCGGTCCTGAGCATATAGGTATAATACTCCTCCACGCTTCCCGCTATCCTCTTCGTACCTTGGATATATCGCAGCACGCAAGTCCGCAAATAACCGATATGTACTCGATTCACTGCGAAAAATATCAACTTGTAGCTTGTCATTGTGGCACACGTACGCTGTGTATTGTATCCTCAGAATCTGTGCATTAGGTTGTCACGGCTACGTTATCAACATGCATTATTGATTCAGTGTTTTTTGAAGCTAAAGGAAATCTAGATTGATCACAGTATTACTAAATTTTAATAGTAAGTTCTAATGTTATTATACGAATCACTGTTCGTAAGGCCATGTGAATAGTGCTTATACCTGCCGAAAACATTTCACCATATCATAAATATATTGTAACATCGTTGCATGTTTTTAAAGTTCACGAGATGAAATTTAGATGTACAATACTTTCGTAGGGTTGTACAGCATTTAATTGAAATAAAAATCAGAAAAAGAGAGTGGTGCACATAATTTTAAGACCTTCTTTTATTTTTGAAACGTCTAAAAAATTGTTGAAGGGAAATATATTTGCAAATTGTTTTTAGCTGCAATTATAAAAAGTTTATGAAGGTTAGCGGATTAAATTAGATTAACTTACGTAAGAACACCCTACCGTTTGGTGTTAATTATACTTATGTATAAAATTAACTGGTCAAAGTAATTTATGTTGTTTTAATTTATCTAATACCTTTTATTACATATGAGTTAATACGTGCTATATAAAACAGCAATTACATTTACACGACAGTTTGACCGCCGAAAATAAAGGTGATCTATTTCAGGTAAGCAATCGAACGATGCCACCTGGTCTTCCGGTTCAGATTGTCAATTTTGATAGCACTTCGATAGCAACTCACCTACATACATATTTGCACGCATAACTACAAAACTATCAAATTGTATTGTTATCTTGTGCTCATGTTACGTCTATCTGTATATTGTAAAGTCACATGACACAAGTCCCAAGCGAATGTGTTAAAGATTCTTCAATTATTGATACACGTCGCACAAAAGACGACCTAATGTTGATTTTTTAACCGAACAATGGAACTCGATACAAAAGAAATAATCACCTTTTGTATATAACGCATTTATTACAGCTGGGAATTTATGTCAACCGAAGTTTCGCATTTCTGAGTTTATTTTGGCATTATTGTAACTTGGCAACTAACTGGTCGTACAAGGCTAAAAGAAGAACACAACCTCAAATAGATAAATTATAAAGACTTCACGAAGTATCGCAAAATATCATTAACAGTTATCTGCAACAATGTTTATTCATAATTGTTAACTGCTCGTATTTAAATACATGTTGTAAGTATAATCACATACTTTCACGTACATGTACATATAATTATACGGCTTTAGGTTACGATAAACGATAAAAAATGATAAAATAGTCTTCACGATAGGAAACTGATAACTTCTCACTAATATTCAACTAGAACCTAGCATTTTTGTTTTCAAAATAGAAAAAATTTTAATGCATACCTTCTCAAAATTAAAATCTGTTTAACAGGATTATCATTACAAATTATCATTGTTAACTTCCATGCTATGGTATTACGTGACCATAGGTCAACACAACAGCGTAATATAATTTATGAAAAACTTGGACAGTTGAAACTGTTCGGTCGATCCACCTTTGAATAAAGTATGATTCTTCCGTGAGACATTACATGTTTTAGTCTAAAGGACTTCTTAGGTCATACCAAAGTTAATACTTATACGTTCACCGTTGAAGGCTATATGTACGAAGCTTTTTTATCTTTTTTACGAACAATATACTGCCTCGGTGAATAATTAAAATTTCATTTACTTATAGTAACATATAATTACCTGTGAACAATTTTTCGAAATCTAAATCAGATAACATTCAATTTTATGACGATAGTCTGATCGAGGTTAAACAATTTACTCTACCAAACTAAGATTAAATATGCAATTAAGATACTGCCGAAGGTGAAATCGTACTTTCCTCGATTCCTCCGCATTGGATATATCATGTAGATAAACATTGTATTGTAATAATATTATGACGTACACACGAATGGTCATGACGCATTACATATTTAATCGATGACGTAACGCGCATTTTCTTATCCTTATAATGATACTCGCGCGCACTTCACGTGCAAATATCTCTGTACAACCTACAGATGCATACGATTGAGAAATCATCAGAGAATAATATCCTTTGTTAAGCAAAGGTTGAAAAAACCGTAAATGATAATGATATCACGATAGAAAATATGCGCGGTTTCAAGTGACAATTATACGACGGCAACAAATAATCCCACCTCGAGCGTACGGAACTCTTCTTACGTTTAGGAGTGACATCAGGAAGGGTAGCCGCATGACGGCGCCACGAGAGCGTCGCGACGCAAGGCACAGTCGTCAGGCGGCGCCGGTCGTTCGTCACAAAACGAGGCGGGGTTGCAGGAGAAGCTTGTATGAAAGAAAGAGAAAAGGAACAAGCGGCGAACTCGCGCGACGTGAACTCGAGGAAAAGAGAAAGAATCGAGGAGATTCGCGAAGAGAACACAGTGTGCAAAGATACAGACGAAACTAGCGCCTCCGTTTAACGCTTTTTCGTTGCCCTCCTATCTATCGGCTTATGAGAAAGACAGTTCTCCAACTTAAATGTCAAATCGTGACAACATATCTTCTCGATCCTTTCGTCTATTATCGTTCGGCTTTCTTTTCTCTTTCTTACATGCGTTCTCTTTGATTTTACATCAGTTCTTGTCATTTGCGAAAGTGCACGAAATCCGAGCCAGTTACTGTCCGAGCCAGTTCTCTGTGGTGATTTCGCGGTGTTGTAAGAATCAACGAAACAAGGAGAAAACCTGTGCATGCAACGATACGAATGAGTACGAACATCATGCGTACTTTCCTTACGTGTGTACGTGTTACATCGGTACGAGGTACGATAGTGTCTCGTCGTAGGTCTCTTTCGATCCTACTAGTGACTAATTGAGCGTGCACATTCAGCAACTTTATGGCCTGGACAATGCATCGACCAGGATAACCGCCGAACACAGAGACATCAAAAGATCCTTTGATTTTTGGAGGAATTACCAATCGCCGTTCTTCTTTTTGTCCGTCTTATGGGTATGCTCAAGATACTTCGCACGGCCAAATATAATTCGTTGAATGATTCAAACATTTAATTTAACTTGAATCTAATAATGCACGGTTTTGACGATCAGTATGCAATCCGTGCGTTTTTCTTTTGTATTTTGGACATGATAAATATGCACGTGTCGTGCGCGTGTACTATACGCATAGAGTGCAAATATGTGTGCGAGTGCGTAACCTCGGACGCCGGTTTAACAGTATTCGTGTGTGCACAATATATTTGAAAAGTGTCAATAATAGAATAGCAATTCTAGATACAATTCTTCTAGGCAGAGCCGTCACTAGTGTTCCTAGAACCCGGGACAAAATCGATAGTGAAAACTTCTATAGTAAACTCTCGTTATATTGCCTCGCATTGTATCAGTAACGGTTATACACTATCGCCACGCCTCTTATCATTATGTGCTGTATCACCACGCGTTATATCCTTACACACTATATCTCTATACGTTATATCGCTTCACTGGGTAGTATATTGCCATGCATATCACCTCACGATATTTCGCCGCGTATTATATTGCCACATGTCAAATTTTTTGTGACGGTTTAATACATGGATCATCATATTTGGTTTAATTACCTTTTGCAAAATTCAGGAGTCCCTAGGTACAAGAATACATGCAGTAGTAAATTTAAAAGTTACCTTATGAGTATGTATGCATTTGAATTAAAATATCGTACGAGTTTTATTATCATATACTGCTTTAGCGAATTAATCAAGCAACTTTTATTTAACATAAATACATTTTAACTAATATCTTGTTATAATCTGTACATATATTTTTCTAATTTTTTCTCAATTTTTTTGAAAACATATATTTAAACAGGTTAATAAATTAGGATTAATATGTAACACGAATTAGCCCCTGAGTTATTTCGTTTAGTACACGCACGACCAAAATAGGAGCAAGGGTAGTCTGTCTGTTATCAAAATTATTTCTTAAGCTCGTGTAAAAGCGAAATTAACCTACTTTACCGATGCCTACACAAACGCGGATTATACTGGTATTATCTTCATCGGTCTAGACATCTATGAATTATTTTATCTTTATTCTTTTCTATTTATCTTATCTATATTCTGCTCTTCGCACATAGTAACTATTGCGTTTAATGAAATTAAATGCGGGAAATCGTGAAATATAAATCCGCGTTTGTTGCTACTGATAATATACGCTTACGTAATGAAGTAAGTAAGCGTCCGATAACGTGATAATTCCTTGTCAATAAATGAATTGAAAATTTTTGTTTACATTGTTGCGTATCATTCCAAGATCGTAACAATTAAAGGATCTTAATTATCTAGCTAAGCATATCATTCAATAAAGCACGTTTGATATTTACGATCGTCATTTTAAGTCCTTATCGTAACACTTCGTGCTTATTACTGACTAAGCTCTTTATTAGTCACGTTATGTCACGTGCTAGAACTAATATGAAGAAAATACTAATTGCAATTTTTTTTTGTACGCATGAAGCTAATACAATACGAACATTATGTATACAATGTTTCTATAAATTATTTACTTGACATTAAATTTTGTATGCCTATGAAAGTTTATTATAATAATAATTATTTTTTTGTAGCACAAATTTCGTCGAATGAGGCTTCAGATACAAAGAATTCAGAACGAAAACAAAGAGAACGCACAGCTACGTGAACAACGAAAGAAATTAATTTCAACGAATAAATGGTGCAATGACTGTGATTGGAAAGATTGTACAAAAAGCAGATCGATTGAACGATATAGATGATGCAGAAACACATCGAATAATATGTAATATGTTATGGCCGTTTTTACATGCAAAATTTAAATAATAGTTCGCATTTTATAAGAAGCTACCTAACAGAGTATACATAAATTATATATACATTAAGGAAAAGTATATAAAAACGCATCGCTGCCTTTTCGTAACAGAGACCTCGCAATGTTAACAAATAGGCAATCGCTACAAACTAATAACGATTCATAGAATGATATACACGATACTATAACGAAATAGTAATAATTATGGATGAAATAAAAGTGGCAAATTTGAGCCAAGCGGCATCGGCCGCGTGTTCGATGGCTACGAATTTCTTGGCGCCAGTGAAAACCGAACGGCAGATCTACGAGAATTCAATGCTCGAGGACGATCCCAATGCTAACTCGGTGGTGTCAACTTCGCAAGAAGACAGAACCGTACCGAGATGGGGTCCAACTCACAAGGGTGCTCAAGAACTTGCAAATCTTTACAGCACTGGTAATTCACTTTATTTCTTACAAATATATTAAATTTTTTTTGTTAATGTAACTAAATACAAATTACTAACTGTCATGCATTTCATACAATATTTTAGAAGATATACATGATACGTGCACACAGGGCCGGCGCTTACATTTGCAGACCCAGTTCCAAAATTGTGCGGAAGCAAAAAAAACGTATTTATGAGCACTTTTCAATTTTATAAGTACCCATATGATACTATGCATAGAGAGAAAAACCTAGGGGAATCTAGGAACTTGGGAAGGACCTTGAGAAGAGCCTAGGGAAATACTAGGAAAAGTTCGACTTCGACACTCCTGCTTCCCTTAATCTTAATGGAAGCTTATGTTATATCAAAATTTATAGCAAGAATCACATTAAGCTTCCCTAAAAAAATGACGGTGCAGGGGAAGGATTCTACCACTGGTTTGTGGTTAGTGATTTTTCAAATTTAGGAACTGGAATTTGGAAATTTCAATCTTATTCGATTTCTTAAAATCAAATATAAGTGGTGAGAGATTCCTTCTCCTAATATTCTAAAAGTATATTATAGTCGGTTGTACTTTTCATGAAATTAAACCTATTTCGTGCCGGCCCTGCGTGCACTTATTGCACGTATGTTTTCTGATTTAAATACTTGCCAAGATATTGACTATACATACATTGGTCGCACCTTGAAATTCTCGACTGTGAACAAAAATAAAGAGCAATCTAACAATACGTATATTCGTATCTATATAATACTGATACATATAAAGTCATTCTTACTTCTGAATATGTACATATAAGGGCATCTCTTTTACGCTCGTATTGAAGGATTATCGCAGTGATTCTTACCTTGTGTTTTCATTTTAGGTAAAAGGACGCAAGAATGCATTTGTATCGGCATCTGTATTACACTCATGATAGTTAATTCAATTTTCATTCTCGTCAGGTTACGATTAGAAAATTTAAGTTCAATAGCGATAGCAGCATTTTGCGGCATCGTTACCGCAGATTTTGGATCTGGATTGGTTCACTGGGCTGCTGACACATGGGGTTCAGTAGAACTCCCAATCCTTGGAAAGGTAAATTATTTCTACAAGTAATTATTTATACACATAAGCAATTTTCATTATTTCACAAAAATTATATTTGAAGATATAAGAAATAATACAACATAATGTTTAAACAAGTTTATTTATTTTACTATTATTACAGAACTTCTTGAGACCATTTCGAGAGCATCATATTGATCCAACAAGCATAACAAGGCATGATTTTATAGAAACTAATGGTGATAATTTCATGGTCACAATTCCATTCCTTTGTAAGCTAACATGGGACTTTCTAACTCTACCAGAATCAGAGATACAGCAAAAATTTCTTTGGACTTGTTATTGGTTTTTACTTGCTATTTTTGTAGCAATGACTAATCAGGTAATTGAAAACAAAATTTTGTGATTGCATTGTTTGGTCACTTAGTTACATATATGGCAAATTTTAATATGGGTTAATATGGGAGCAATAACATAAGAATTTTTTCTTTTTCAGATACATAAATGGTCACATACGTATTTTGGACTACCTGCATGGGTTGTCTGGTTGCAGGAACATAGAATTATATTACCTAGGAAACATCATCGAGTGCATCATGTCGCACCGCATGAGACTTATTTCTGTATTACTACTGGATGGTTGAATTGGCCATTAGAACAACTTCGGTTTTGGTACATTTTAGAAATTATTATCGAAAAAGCTACTGGTTGTAAACCAAGAGCAGATGATTTGAAATGGGCACAAAAGCGGTCTTGAGAATTAATATATCTTATGATTTTATGCATTTTCATGGATAAAAAACAAATTTAACAAACAGACAAATTTTCCATGAGTTTAAAATTTCATGGAAGAGAAGGAAATTCGACATAAGAACATGCTAACAGAAAAATTAAATCCATACCATAATTTTTTTTCTTATACTTAGCACTATGAGGCCTTTCCTACGAAATAGATAGCGTGATTAAAGACATTTAGTATTATATGAACATGCTTTTGAAGTTTACACATTTATAATACGTATATGCAATAACATAGATATGTATATATAAATTATATAAGGATAATGTGAGTATGAAATTATGTTTGTATAATTATAAATTAATGATTGGCCTGTCAACTCAAGCAATTATGCGTTTTATGCACTGCACAATCATTATACAAACGGCACAAATTTAAGTACAGATTATTTGATATAATAATACGTGAAGTATTGTGGACTTCAAATTCAAACACAGCAGCGCATTGTGAAAAAGGTATTACATACTTATATAATTTATAAACACGATGTCCAGTGGCTATGAAATTAAATTAAACGTTAAATCGCATTGATATGTACATGTATACCGACACACATGTATGTATATGTATATATATACATATATATATACTTATATATATTTTTTCACATATATACATATATAAATATATTTATAAATTAATTTAAATTTGTCGCTACCACATTTGTTCGCAAATGAATTTAAAGAGCGTTTTTTCAACGAAAATATATAATTTAATTAATGCACTAATTTAAACTAGCTCAATCTGCTGTTTAAATGCAGTCATCGATTTCCCTGAACCTTCGAAAATTTTTGAGCCACTGAAATTGAATGCAAAGTACTGATTTACAATAATCACAGTTTATCAGAAACAAATATTGTCAATTTAAGTATTATCTACGTATACACGTACATTGTAAAATCAAACGTTTTTTTCGCACAAGAAAAACACAACTTCTTAACAAATTTATAAATTTATATGTTTTTTACATAACTTATAATAATTAAAATTGGCAATTTGGCTTCAATTTTAATTTGATAGAAATAGTTAAATTATATTGTCACAATTTGAGCTAAGATTTGTATAATAATGTTTTATATAACGTTTATGATTAATGTCATAAATGATACAAACGAAATTATGAAAATTACTTATTAATCAAAGAATAAGATAAACAAAATTTACATTACTCATAAATTCAAACTTTGTTCAACATAATATTACATACATTTATAAAATTTTATTCTAATAATTATTACACTTCTTAGCTCAAGACATATAATTTAACAACTATAATCTAACAAACATAAAAGTTATAAGGTGCTAAATATAAGTACAAGTTTTAGGTTCAGGGACCAAGAAAAGAGTTTATTGCTCTGTGCAGCAGTTTTCTAAGTAATTGGTTTGATTTGGGTAAAGTATACTGATGTTCAAACAATAATACTATATAGTTAAATTTTTACAAATATTATGCTGATGACTGACTCTATGTGTATTTTGTTTTGATTGGCTTCTATTTTAAATGCCTCGTGATTTTCAGTATACTTTATGCAGAGCTTTACCACAATGTATGTTCCTTGCAAGCAAATCATTAGTAATGTCTTTTAAAAGAAATAACTATTATAAGACATTACAACTATTATAAGTACCATAATTGTTATTGTTATTGTTATTGTTATAAAAAAGAAGTATAAACTTTTAACAAATTTGTCATATAGTAACGCGTGCCAGAACAAAAGCTTTCTCTTTATATAAATCTATTTAATGGTTAACTAATAATTGCACAAAACAAATTGAAACAAAGAACTATATTTTTGCTAATTTAATTTTTTATGCAATATACTGAAGTCACTAATGTTGCAACTTCGGGTTTTTTTTAAAAGCATGTAATTTATTAAGTACTAATATCAAAGGATGATATAAAAATAGAACTATACATTGTGTTGCCCTGATATGAACTGAAGAAAAATCCAAAACTAGAAGTTTCTCGCTTTGTTTAAACAGTTTCAATATATTTAGTCATATTCTACTGAATGTTAATTTAAAATTACACCTTTCTATACATAAAACAACGAAAAAAGACTATTGACACATAAAACATTACGTGTAAAGGCAGTATAGATGTATAACAATCACATAATTATTTCGTTTATTTAATTAATAATGCAACAAAATATTTTGATCAAAATAAAGTGTCTCATTTTCACATTCCATAAGTCTAATTATGTAAAACTATTTATTAACTAATATTTAATCAATTCTATGTTTAAATATTTATTTACACAAGATTTAATAATACTAAAGAATTGATTTTAATTTATTGACTGTTCAAAATAATTTTTATATAGATTTATATAATCTCGAATGATAGTCAATATAATATCAGCCTTATAACAGAAACGAAGAAAATTTTATTGAAAGATAATCTTAAGCTTTAATATTTTGAGGCTATATTTAATTCAAATGTTAGTCTCCATCTTAGGAAATATATAATGATAAGAAATTTGTGCAGAGTAAAGTGAATTAAAATATTATAAGTTCAAATGTATTTTAAGAAATAGCATTAATGATTTTCACTTTTCAGCAGCACATCTAGATGTAAATATATGTTTTTTAGCTTAAATTTAAAAAGACAAAAGTATAAATCTGGTAATTTAAATAAAAAAAACATTTTGATGGCTGTAAATATATTCAATTTGATACATAAAAATATATTTATATCTAGTTTTAATTGCAAGATCGCATACCTATTTTCATATGATCATCAATCAAACGTTTTTAATGTAATTACATCGTATCATTATTAAGCACTGTTTTTCATTCAGTTTTATAACTTTAACAAATTGTCTTTTGACAATAAATGATTGAATATAATTTCAGAAATGTTACGTACATGCTATTGTATTTGGTTTGGTGTAGCAAGAAATGCATTTAAAATCCTAATTATAAAACTAAAATAAAGCAGGATATTAGTTTTTTAATATTTACAAATTTGAGATATATAAACTGCTTTGCAATAAATGTAAATGTATATAATGTACTTTAATATTGTGAATATATATGAAATACAATGAAAACAATAGACTTTATTTAAAATTTCAAATAAATTTACAATAATACAATATATACGCATATTTACATTTCATCATCCAATGAATGAATTAAAAATACTTTCTTAAATGCTAGAATATGTATTAACATTTAATTCATAAATGTCTACTGAAATAAATTGTATTTGCCATAATATCTGCATGTATTTAACGTACTAAAAAATTATTATCTGATAAAACAGTAAGCATATATATAAACATACATATATAAATATATTGTACGAAGTTCATCTTCAATTATAAAAACCTTATAAGTCTATGTACTTAAAAGTTAGTTAGTACAGTTATAAATGATGCATTTGACAATGTCACAGATGATCAAATAACTTTTTGAAAGTCTAAACTAGTATGATTTTATAACAATGTGAAGAAATATTTATGCTACCTAAGTACAATATTACAGTTGCAACATTTTTGTTTTTTATGCAACTAGCAAAACATGAAGAAGTAAAAAATAATATTGTTATTGTTATTCTTAGAATAAAAAATACATTATTAATAAAGGTATTAACTTGTGATAACATAAATTTTATATGTTTATAATTTATATAGTACAAAATTAAATTCGAAAATTGAACATGTCTCAATGTTAAATACTTTTTCAAATATTAATTTGACAAATACTTCACAAATCGATAGATATTTATATATACATTTTATACTGCTGTTTTTTTACATTTTTTTTATTTAATATATAAGCTGTTAACGTAGCGTTAGATTACTCATGTTTGAAAATTTGTAATAATCTTAAAGTATCAATTTTTAAACATATTTTTTCATTATTATAACGCATAATTTATGAAGGTATATAATTGATAATAAGTCTTTGTATATAAAGTATAACAACAATTTAAAGCCATTATGTTTTAATTTCTACTTGCACTTTACAAAATACGTTATATATACGTAAAAATTACGCGCAATAAAGTAGACTACAAATTATAACCATTTAAAACGTGTTTATCACGTGATATGATAAATTTGAATCGCATAATATACTTCAAATTAGCTAATTATTTTTAAAATATGTAAAAGGTAGTTAATTATTTTTAAAGTAAGTAAAGAGTAGTTAATGATTTTTAAAGTAAACATTTTCATTCGGTAAACAACGATAAAAAAAAACTTACAGTAATTTCAAACCCAAATTCCTTTCGATAAAACAGTTTCTTTGAAGTCGGCGTTGTATCGACGTCACAGCAGGTCGATAGCTCTACTCACGGTACGAATCTACGGTATCTTGAGAACGTTCACGGTGCATAATTTGTCATCCATTTTTCTATTATCCGTTCAATGGGAGATTATACTGGATTTGCGCAATGTAGCTAACTTCAATAGATTCCCCACTATTTAGTACTGACCCCACTATCGTACGATTTCCACTCCGTTGGTCATATACATGGTGGATAAAAATTTATCAACAGAGATAAGAGGTTACAATGTAGAATCATAGGAGATTCTTGTCCACTGAGTATACACACTTTGTGGCATAAACGCTATGAACACGCATGCGTGTTGCCCTTAGTTACCGATCACGCTCGACCAATTAAAATTGACATGCGCAAAACGAACGGAAACTTGACGGATCAGGAGCATGATCTCCCGTTGAACGAATAATAAACAGTTGGCAGAATTTGTGCGTGCGGTGTGCGCTAGTCTGCCGACGGCGTCCGTTCATAGGAAAGAGAGAAGACATTGTGAAGAAGCCCTTTGTCAAATTAAAGGAAAGCATAGTTGGTTGAGAAAGAAACGTAATCTGCCGAGGAAAGGGATCATCAAGAAATCTGAAAGTAAACAGGGTGATAGTTCAGCTTCGTTTCGGATTCTTTGACCTCTTGAACTCCCCGCGGGTTTTTTCTTTCCCGCGAGGTGAATAACAGTGGTACATAGGCCAAACCCCTGACCCCTCCTCGGAAGCTTCGCGCCTCGGCGCCTAGGCCATATCATAAGGAAGGAGAAAGAAATTGCGGAAGCGGGGAGGTTAAGAGGACGGCACGAAAGGGAGAACGCGCCGTCCATCACCATGAAGCTCGTTGACCACGTGGTGAGGAGCTTCAAGGTGGCCAAGGTTTTCCGTGAAAATTCCGACCGCATAAATAGCATCGACTTTTCACCGAACGGGGACACTTTGATCTCCTGTTCAGAGGATGATCAAATCGTGATATACGATTGTGAGAAAGGCACTCAGGTGCGTACGGTTAATTCCAAGAAGTATGGTGTAGATTTAATACACTTTACCCATGCGAAAAATACTGCGATACATAGTAGTACCAAAATTGATGACACGATTCGTTATCTGAGTCTGCATGACAACAAGTACATCAGATATTTCCCTGGTCACAGTAAAAAAGTTGTGTCACTGTGTATCAGTCCTATAGAAGATACGTTTTTGTCTGGTTCTTTGGATAAATCTTTAAGACTATGGGATTTACGTTCACCCAATTGTCATGGTGTAATGAACGTTTCTGGTCGTCCAGTTGCTGCATATGATCCTGAAGGTCTTATTTTTGCTGCAGGCGTCAATTCAGAGTTTTTGAAATTGTATGACTTACGCAGTTTTGACAAAGGACCATTTGTTACATTTAAACTGTCTCAAGAAAAGGAATGTGATTGGACAGGATTGAAATTTAGCAGAGATGGTAAAACCATCTTGATTTCTACAAATGGTAGTACGATTCGTTTGATTGATGCGTTTCATGGCACTCCGCTACAAACATTTGCTGGTTACTTAAACAACAAAGGAATTGCAATTGAAGCCAGCTTCAGCCCTGACTCGCAGTTTGTATTTAGTGGATCTACAGATGGCAGAGTACACGTATGGAATGCCGAAACTGGATATAAAGTTTGCGTGCTTAATGGAGACCACCCTGCACCTGTTCAGTGTATTCAATTTAATCCTAAATACATGATGTTAGCTTCTGCCTGTACCAACATGGCATTTTGGTTACCCACTGTAGATGAAAGTGCATAAAATCAATGCACAGGACACTGGGCAATGCTCGCAAGATTTTACCTAGTTGTGCATCAGAAAGAACTGAAAATGACATCAGTTCAAGAAAGAAACAATAACAGACAGTTCTTGGGTGTCTTAAACAAGCTGAAATTGCATTTATGTTATGTTCAAAGTAAAGTAGCCGACGTATGAGACGCCGGTATTGGAATGAACCCAAGAAACAGAAAAATTGCTGCGATATCCAGGAGATCGGCCCGCTTGGCTCATTTTGAGTATGTCATGCATTGTTTATGTATTTTGCCATCTTCGTTATCTTCGTCGTCATGTACTCTATGGCGCGATGAACGTGACCATCATAATACCTTGTCAATATTTAAAAATTGTGATATGACATCAACTCTCTTTTTTAAAGTATATTACAAAGATTGCTAATGTTTGGATACATCATCCTGTGTACATAATTCCTTCTTATGTACCTGTATGTAGTATAATGATACAGAATTGTGTACTGTACATTATGAAAAACACTGTGAGTCATGTATCATTGATTGACTTCCGAGCAATTGATGACCTTACATGTGTTATTTGTTTACAAATTTTATCTTTGGTCATTTTGGTTCATTGCATTAAAAGGTAACAACAAAAGTCATATGTTTTTTAACGTAATTGAATTCTTGAAATGGATTTTCAGCACAAAGAAAGAAAAGATGTTTGGATTAATGTCAAATCTATGTCACGAATTTTACAATATACGAGAATATATGCATATATTCAATTGCATACTGATATCTGAAAACAAAAATGAATTGTAGTCGCTGATATCGCGCATGGAGAAACTGTTACAGGTAATCACGTTGCATCAATGCATATTAAGTAATTGGTTCGGTTAATTAAATTTCGCAGTGGCCGTCCGAAATCAGGGATATTTTCTTTTTTTAACTTCATTATGAATGAACTTGGAATTCAATGAACGTACGAACTGTCGTTATGCGCAAAAAACAATAAATATCGAGCTTATTTATTATGCGCAGTAAACACGTGAAACGTCTTAGATGCTTTGTTGACGGCAGTAAGGTATCTCGTGTTTCTACGACTTCCATGCGATAAAATAAATCACAGAAAGTATACTGCCAACGTTGGCACTTACGTTGTTGTATATGTATTATTCTAAATACGGTATCGCTTTTAATCTACATGCGTGGAACCGGCGGGCCGGGTGAGAAAAACATTCGATGACTGTAGAAAGTGCAGTTAAATCTAATCATCTCATACAGTAGTACAGTAAATTTTAACGTTTACGTCATGTCGATATGGCATCTCATCTTATTAAGCTAACAGGTGCATTCGAATAGACAGGCATCGAGTATGTTTTATCGATAAAACAACAATTCGACAATCTATCTTTTTTGTACAATGTAGTTAATACGATGAATAATTATTCATTTCATTATAAACATGTTCATTTGTAATGGATTATCGAAATTGTATCAATTTTTGAATTTGAGAAAATTGCTTTATGAAAAGATATACAATTCTGTGACTCGCATCACGTGTTTATTATTACACTATTTATGTATATTCTGTCTGTTCGATTATATAGCCCTGCCTTCATCATTACATGTATATATCATTATATTCACGATGTCCTTTAGAATTTCTAGGCATTTTCCTTAACATCAGGGATGTACGGGTACCCGACATTTTGAGCTCGGTTTGGATCAGATGAAGTCAGGTGAATTTCCAAATTTGAAAATCTGAAATTAGTAAATATAAAATTTTTCAATTTAATTCTCAAGATTCAAGATGGTGTGATTTCCTCAGAGTACGCCCGACTTTTACCGATCTTAGCCGACAGCTTTGCTACCCGACACATTCGATTACCCGCGCATTCCTATGTAATATATCTTATACAGGAGTAGATGGTTACAATATTCTATTGAAAATGCGTGTATATGCATAACATGTACGACTGTGTTACATATTTGTGTATTGTCTATTGATTCTACGACGATGTACGAATGCGTGTATGAGTGTCTTTTTGTATATGAATGTGTTGCTTGTATGTAAGTATATGTTCGAGTTCAGCGGGCTCGAATACACTACATGTGTGTCGAATGCGCGAGAGTTCGCCTCGTCTTGTAAAATAGTATTTTTCTAAATGGCGAAACAGCGTGTGCAAATATTGCGATCTATGTTAGACAAACGAAAAGAATACAGTTGTTATTAAGAATATGTTTTGCGACCTAAACGAAAAAAAGGATAAATTTAACTTGAAGAAAACGGCGAATTTGATCAACTAGATTGCAGTAAGAAAGATTTATCGGATACTGAAAGTTATAAAAATTGATCCACGTATATAGATTAAATATTCTCTGCATTATACTGCCAACTACAATTCAGAGTGATACGAATTTTGTGTAAACGTGCAAAACATTGTGTTCCAAAAGGAAAAAACGGGAACTTACAGATACACTGACGAGTTAACGATGCAACTTTTACCCGATCGATAACTGAAGTCGATCACGATTCGTCGAGCGATAACGACTCTGTTGAAAATTTGTTTGCACATTTAAAATGTCAGTCAGGGGCGTAAATTATTAATAGTGTACTTGTTATCGAGTTGATTAAACTACCTGCCGTTTTCTGTGCGAAGGAAAATGTAAAAGAAAAATTTATAATTCTTTTTTTCCTTAAAGGCATTAGTCATTATTGACTAATATTATATTTATATTGCATCATCCACAGTAAATATGTTATAAAAATTATACGTTTTAAATTATACTGAACGCGATCGTTTAGCATAAAACGAGAGATAAATAGTTCCTCTTTCAGAATTATGCGACATTTCATTTACGCCCCTGTCTCGATTGTCGATTCATACGGCTACTTAACATAGGGATTTAGAATTGTCTTATGAATTAGTAGATATATATCATGTCATCCGAATGAAATTTAACGAATAAGAGCGTTTTATTAAAATGCGCTTAGAAACAGAGAATATTAAATGTGATTGTTTATGAGAGATATTCATTTATGCTTCTATTGATTTGTAATTACAATGGAGTCTCACTATATGGCCTTGAGTGCGGTTAAATAACTAGCAAAAAATTGTGACATAGAAATTGAAGTAACTAAGGATTTATTAAGAACTTAAAATTACTAATAATGTATGTGAAAGGCTGTAATATACAACTTGCTCAATGGGCCATATAACGAGACTGCGCTATAGTAACACTTGCCTTGAAATACTCTAATTTCAAGGGATACTATCCCGATAACGTTGCTAAGTTCCTACGTTAAGTTCTCGTACCGAATTATCGTCGAGTATTCATAGGCGAAACGTAATCACGTTCAGTACTAATTTTTAATCGAATTTTAAATTTTTCTGCGCAAAACAAAAATCTGTTCGACATCCATTATATGTAACGATGTAAGATATCTAGTAGATGCTTAGAGAACAGGAACAGGATGCTTAGGAACATGCAAAAAATTGAACATTTAATATTCAGTTAAAAAATTGATCCATCTTCCAATGATTTAGAGTACACACATTATTAATAATATATTTTATTAGTAAACTTCCAACTTCATCTTTATAACAAACTTTTAAACGTTTCCTTTTGGTTTAATTTTTTTTCAACGCTGTACATTTTTATTTACACCTTATGCGTAATATAAATAAAAAGTTACAAACGTATTTTATAAATGTCTTGGTAGATTTTACGACAAAAAAATAAGTAAAAAATGTTTCTAGAAAAACACTTTGTCTATGTTCCAGTTCGCTAAGTCAAAATGATATAAATGTGATGGAAAAATAATGTTTTTTTTCTATTAATTATTAAATGTAATAACATATCACCATGTTTATTAGAAAGCTTTTGTTAAATGAATTTTTTTTTTATGTACATTCTTAGGAAAAGAGGAAAAAATAAGTGTTTAAATTATCTTTAACAATAATGTATTAAAATGAATTACTTGTTGCGCAGATTAAATTTTTATTTTCTTTTAAAAGCACTAATAGGACGCATGAGATTTTACCGAAGGAAAAAGATTCTAATAAAACACTTTTTTTGTACATTAAAATTTGGTCTTATCATTTAATTTCATAATTTATATATTCCATTATTTGATATGCAATGAAATGGGACAGATTCTGCTGAACAAACAGTATTATGATTTTCCTGTTTGAATAAGTTTAATCTTCGCTTTAATGCTTCATAAAAGCAGATAAATTTAATCAGTATAGTTTCTCGTAAAAATATTTTAGTTTTAATAACAAATTAATGTAAAATTAATTTTTTTAAATAGTATATCAATATTTATTATCACATTAGTTATGTTACAATTACATTTTACATTAATTTAATTTGTGTAATTTTAATTACACAGATTTATAAATGTTTGATGAATTTTTTAACACTAGAACTACTAATGATTAACGATATGCGTTAAATGATCTCTGTATATAAGATTATCTTGTATATAACTTTTAAAACACTGGGAAAGAGAAAATAAATTGATCAGTCATTTACATATTCCAGGAATAAATGCGCAAAATACGGAAGAAATACTGAGAAATTTTTTTAAAGAATTACCAGTCGTTTTTACTACTTTTGTAATTCTAGTGTTAATAAGGATGTAATTAATTAATCTGGTTAAATTATTTTTATATTGACCCTTTTACGCTCCTCAGGTAAAAATTTACTCATTGTAAAATGTTGAATTGAATTTTTCTTTAAAATGTATACAGTAATACCTTGTTAACTGATCGTGTTTAGGGACCATATCTGGCCAGTTGTCAAAGAGGATAGGAGTTCTAGGAAATCACAGGTATATCTTTTTTCTCTTATGTGCGAATGAAAAACGAATACCTGACTAGTTTATAGAACTAATTGGTATAGCGATGATCAACCACAAGGCAATACTGTGCATTTCATTAAAACTTGGAAAATATGGAATAAAACTTATAGATCGTATGTGATACCGTAACTAGTTTTGTTTGAAATTGCAAGTATTAGCAAGCATTGAGCTATATTTCAAAGCACATGAGGATTAAACAGAAAATCCATGAAATTGTTTCATTTCTCTACTGTTTGTATATGGTATAACTCCTTCTCTTCGGCAGAAATTGAATCTGGAGCTCCGGACATTAAATCTCGTCCTGTCGTGGTTTTTGGAAATGCTATCACATCTTTTATATTTTCTGTTTTACATAGTAAACACATTAAACGATCTAATCCTTGAAAATAAAATAAAATATTATTGATTTTAGTATGTCATCATAAAACGTCATTCAGATATAAAATAGAAATAAAATACCTATAGCGATTCCTCCATGAGGCGGAGCACCACATTCAAGAGCTTCAAGCATATGCATTAAATGTGATTTATCTATATTTAATAATTTAAGTATTTTGTTTTGAAGTTCTGCTTCATGAATTCTTATTGATCCTCCTGCAATTTCTGAGCCATTCAAAACTAAATCATAATGTAAACCTCTAACCTATGAATATACGTATTTTGTTAGACACAATCACATATGAACTTACTAATTGCGTAACAATATTACCTTCGTTGGATTTTCCGAAAGATATTGAATATCATTTGGATGAGGTTGCGTAAATGGATGATGCATACTTTCCAATTTATTCGTTTCAGTATTAAATGAAAATAACGGAAAATCAGTAATCCATAAGAATTTATTTCCTGAAGTGCGGATTTGTTGACCTTTACTTTCCATTATATTTGTAAATTCAAGACGCACTTTTCCTAATAATGATTGCTGTAATTTTAAGAATAATATTTATATATATATTAATGTAATTAATAAACTTAAAAAATATAATACAATTGATATATTAATATTTACCGTTTTAAATTTTTCACCACAAGCTAAAAACAGAACATCTCCATGTTTTAAATTTAACCTTTGCTGTACATTTTCATTAATAATATTTGTCAATATGGTTGATTGTGGAGATGATTTTATTTGAATTAATTTCACAGAAGGAAAATAATTCTGTTTCAGTGCAGAAATATTTTCTTTGACAGATTTTGTAAGAAATTCCTAGAATACAATAAAAACACATTCTGAATTTATAAGAACTGGGAAATAAGAAAAATATAAATAGCAGACAAACATACATGTTTACTGGGAAATACCAGGCCATAAACTTCATAGTTTTTATCCCATTTTATTTTCAAGTTTTCCTCTAATGTCGAATGATCAATTATATCTGTAAGTCTATGAAGCTAAAATAATAATACTGTCCTTAATATTATTTAACAGATTCAAAAAAAAGCATACTTAATTCTTACTTTTTGTGGTATCCTCAAATCTGGTTTATCTGTACCATATAATTCCATTGCTTCTGTATATGTCATATGGTTAAAAGGAGTTGTGACTGTGCCTGATTCTTTAGGCCAAGAATATACTAATAAATTTTCAATCAACTCCATTATTCCTTTACAATCAACAAATGACATCTCTATATCCAGCTATAAAATAGTAAAATATCAACTTAATTTAATTTATACTTTTATGATTAACAACATGTACCTGTGTAAATTCAGGTTGTCTATCATGTCTAGGTTTTTCATCTCTATAACATCTGGCAATTTGAAAATATCTATCACAACCACCTATCATTAATAATTGTTTAAACTGTTGTGGACTTTGTACTAAAGAGTAAAATTGTCCTGGATGTTTTGTTGGAACTTTAAACTCTTGAGCACCCTATGTAAAGAAAATACAGTCATTAAAAATATTATAAATCTGGCTATATTACATTGCATATATGAATACACATACACCAGGAGTCTGTTTAAACAATGTTGGAGTTTCTATGTCCACAAAATCACATTCATTGATTAAGTATTCTCTCATTTTCATTGTAACTTCTGAACGCAATCTTAAATACCTCTGTAATTCAGGATATCTTAAGGATATATATCTGTACTTCAACTGAGTACTTTCTTTTGCTTTGTTGAAGTCTCTAATAACAAAGGGCAAATTTGGTTTTGCTGCATTTAAAACTTCCAATGATTCTATGCTTACTTCTATGTCGCCAGTTTTCATATTTTTGTTTTTTTGGCTCCCTGGTCTATCCAATACTATACCTTTTATAGTTAACACACTCTCAAAAGTTAAATTTTTTACTACATCTTGTAAGTCTTTTCTCTAAAACAAAAAATATTTCTTTATTTTGATACACATATATATTTTTTTTACTGAGTGTATAAATATAAACTCACATTGTCTGATATAATAAATTGAGTGGAACCATAAGAATCTCTTAATAATATAAATTTGTTATGTCTGGTAAATTCTAACCAGCCACATAATTGAACTTTTTCTCCTACATTTTCAGTACTCAATTCTCCACATGTATGAGTTCTCCATACATACTTATTGACTGGTTGTATATTTTGTTTTACAAGAGTTTGTGTATTTACAGCTAAATTGTGGGTGTAAGCGACTGACATTAATCCGCATCGTATTGGCTAAAATACAAACATACTTAACATAAACAATACAATGATTTAAAATAATCTTTGATAAATAATATTTTAACTTACTTTTTGGTTAAGTAAACAATTTGTACAAAATAATCTGAAAAATTGTGTCCTTCCAACAATGTAATTACGAAACATTGTCTTTAAACAAATATATTCGTGTAATTTATAAGTACATATAATGTAAATAACAGTTTATAACAATTCTTCAGTGCTTGTATTAGAATTATCTGAACTTAGGGTCATTTTAACCGGCTTCGTTTAAATAATGATTAATGTTGGTCACACTGGTTATATTTATGAACGTTATTTCGAACAGTTTGTTGATGTTCATTTGTGAAATACAATAAAGTGATAAAAATGGTATATTTAAAGTTAAATAAGAAAAAATATTTTAATACTGCTACTATAACTCATTGCGTGTTCTTATGTTTCAGTTACCTCTATCATTGTTAAGAACAGCACAAAATCATCCTATGGTAGGTTATATATCAAAACATTTTTTACGTCAGATCTATTATTCAAATCCATTATCTATTATTATTTTTGTATAATATAATATTGTGTTTTGTAGCTGGTTGAATTAAAAAATGGAGAAACATACAATGGGCACTTGGTGAGCTGTGATAGTTGGATGAATATAAATCTCAGAGAGGTTATATGCACATCCCGGGTATGATAATAATACACCCTTTTAAATATATGCTTAATTAATACAAATTACATTTATCAGTCATTCATCTAAATAACTTTCAGATTATTAATATAGTTTTTCAACGTGTCACTTAGGATGGAGATAAATTTTGGAGAATGCCAGAATGTTACATTCGGGGTAGTACAATAAAATATTTACGAATCCCAGATGAAGTTATAGATATGGTAAAGGAAGATATCCAAATGAAATCAAGAGGACGTGGAGAAATGAAAGGAAGAGGACAAAATCAAAGAGGTCGTGGTACTGGAAGAGGTACAACAATATTATCTATTTCATTCAGCCATTATTATAGACCTTCTATGTGTGTATAATGAAATACTTTATTTAGGTACTTTTGGTCGTGGTGGAAGGGGTCCTGCATCTCTTGGCCGTGGTGGTGGTAATCAAGGAGGGAATAAATCACAAAATAAGACAAGGACTAAATAAAGTTAATTTTACTTTAAGTTTATTATGGTTAGTTGATTTTTATTTCTCTAAAAATACTTTTAAAAAGATTAAGGTTTAGTAAATTCACTATTTCCATATTAGATACATGAACAAATAAGTAAATCATATTTGTTTTAAATAAAAATTAGATTAGTAATAACTTTTGGCGAAAGTTCAGAAAACTCGAAACGGAACACGTTGCACCATCTAGCGGCAAAACAGATGAAATAATAGGAAAAAATGCATGTCAGAATACGCATATAAGGAAATTATAAAAAGTCATATTTCATAACTTGCGCTACATATTATGCTTCCTGAGACATTTTAAAGCAAATTCCTATTAATATTTGATGCCATTTATTGCCGATTAAGTCTAAAAATTTCCAAAGGGGTATTATTTCAAATTTGCTTCCATTAGTTCCTACGTTTCACCGCTAGATGGACGGCAATTTTGTAGACCAGGACTGATTTCTTATTTTCGTTTCTAGTGCTCTGAGGATGTTCTAAGAGTAATTTTTTTTATAATTATTATTGATGATTAATGTAATTAAAAAATATTACTACATATTTATAAAAGAAAAAATATTTATTCCATTTACATAAAGAAGACACATAAAATCTAATTTCTTAATACTATTTATACACACCATTTTTAGTGGTTAAACGTGGAATAAAAATTAAATAATATTATACAGTGATAACATGAATTATTTATTAAAATAATAATTCAGTTATAATAATTCAATTATGTCACTTTTGTTTTTAAAGTTTTGTCAGATCAATGAAAACGAAATTGTAAATTGATACAAAATATGACTTATATTCAGCGTGGATGTACAATGATAAGTGGAGTGTTATAGTTTTTCGTGTACCTGTAACAAACATTTATATATAATATCTAGAAACTCAACAACAAAAATTTAACGAATTAATTATACTTACTTAATTGAAGTTTACAATTTATTTCAAAAGTGGAATTATATTTATCGTCCTTCAACTGCAATACAAAAATAAAGATTGTTAATTTTTAACAGTTCAATTACTCTTATTTTAAAACTATGATCAATTCTGAATGTAATAAACTTACTATACGAAGCTAGATCTATTTCGTCGGGTAATTCTGTGATATTAACATCAAATCGTTCCTGTACGTCATTTAATATCTTAGCGTCACTTTCGTCACTAACTAATGTAATTGCAAGACCCTGTAAATACGAATTATATTAATAAAAAATGAATATATAGAAAAAATAAATTATAAAGTATGTTATACTAACCTTTGTACCAAAACGTCCGGCTCTAGCCACTCGATGCAAGTACGTGTCTGAATCTTCTGGCATGTCATAATTGAATACTATATTTACACGTTCGATATCCATGCCACGCCCAAATAAATTTGTAGCTACAAGAATTCGCTGAAAGTAACATTAGTTATTTGTTAATAACATGTCTATTCAAATTATATCAAATACTGATATTGAATAAAATTATATTTTTAATATTTACTTTTTGAAAGTCTTTGAACTGTTGATATCTTGATAACCGTTCTTCTTGTGTCATTCCTCTGTGTATACCAATTGCGGGGAAATTTTGTTCGGTTAAAAGTTGTGCCAGTGCCATACACCTTTGTACAGATTTTACAAAGATAACAACCTATAGAAATAATATAACATAAAGAAGAAAATTGCAATAGCTAAATATATAATTGAAATTTTAAACCAAGTTATAATTAACATAGTTTAATCTATCTCTCTAAGCAAACCTGATTAAATTCAAGAACATCAAGTAATTCAAATAGCTTCTTGTTCTTTTCATTTTCTTTAAGTTTCACATAATGTTGTTGTAGACCATGTAATGTGAGCTTCGCTTCATCGTCCACATAGACTTCCATGGGCTGCGCAAAGAATGTTTTTTATAAGATTATCTACTTTATCCTAACAGTAATTAATCCTTGTTTATAGACTCTATTATGCCTTTTTTACTCTAATGTATCGAACAAAACTTCAATATAAATTGAAGTTAAAAATATAGACAAAACTTATATATGCAATTGATAACAAAAAAAGTGATTAGAAAACAAATAATTTTGAGATATGAAACGGATAAATCAAAATTTAAAAAAAAAAAAAAAAAAAAAAAATGAAACAAGTGACATGAAAGTGTAGAGAATTGCTTTTATCAATATCCTAATTTCTCCTGCTTCCCTGATAATGACAATTTGTGTTAAGTGACTATAAATAAAATGCATTAGATGGTTTAAAGAACTTTCCGCTCGAGCTCTCATTTTTGCACTTATTTGTCGATCGGATTAGTCATACAGGTTACATACGGTCCGGCGACTTCCATCTCTGGGTAGTGCCAACAACGAAAACTCAGCAGTCAGCCCAACAGAACTAAGAAGGCGCACCCATGAATGTTCTGTCAGATATCCGCTGGCCACTCGATGCCAAATTTCTTCTCCCAAATTCTGGCACATTCAGAATTATGCCCAGAATTGGCCTCAATTATCGGTGGTATGCTCGTATATCACAAAACTTACGGCCTCTGGGATTCTCTAACACCGCGACATAATTAGCTCGTGATTCGTGATACACAAATTGATTTATGCTTTGCTTTCACGTACAGATGGCCACGGTCAAACTATGCATAACACTTCCATTGCTGTCCAATTTCACTCCTACTAATCGATTATTGACCTCCATTAGCCATTTTCAAAATATCAAAATGTGCTGTTTCAATTTACAGATAAGACGAACGCGAATAAATTCTAGACATATGCCACGTAATTGCAGCAATATCGTCATTGATCGATCCTAGCTAACCCCAATTTCCCACATATCCTCTTGCATCTTCTTTCTTGCGTTCTTCTGTCTTCAGGTTGTCTTGAAGTCTTCTTAGCCCCCCACCCGATGCTTTCAATGTTGCTCTAACTCGTTTAAAAATCTACCCTTCCCTTGCACCTGTCTCAATCATTGCCCGTATAAACGTAGGAACTTTTTCCACCCAACCCATCCCAATGTACGACGTTTCCCAACATTTTGTGTAATATTATACCGAACATTGTTTGAACTTTGGTAATTTCAATATGCAGCAGGCAATTAAAAGATTCGAACATTGAAACTAAACAAAATTTTTTAAAGTATCCCCCAACGGCATCTTGATTAATTTGAGAAACGACTTTAAACGAGGATTTCGTTCCTTTTATGAGTAGATATGGTCATCCGGTAAATGGAGGAAAACTTTGGAGCAGCAACTCGTTACGTTCAAGTTGTAGAACTTGACGTTTCAATCGAAATCCAAAGACATCGAGGGGCTTTTCGTTATTGAATTTCTGTGTCACTTCTTCAAAGTGTTGTCTAACTAGCCTAACCCGCGGGTGCGCCGTCAACAATATTTATAGTATGGTTTGAGCTTTGTCCTGGGTATGAATACAGGGCCAACGAAGTAGGAGCAACCGAAGATCGAAGTGAAGAGGAAGATTGGTTAATTACATCTTGCATAAATTTTTTGCAGACAGGGCGTATCTCCTTGGATAATGTAGCGCTGAACATCATGACTTGCTTGCCGTGGGGCGTGCTTCTAAATATTTCCTGTACATCTCTACGCATGTCTGTAAATAAATTTAAGAATTTAATTTAAATTTTAGACATTTACAAATACGTATTCTATGTATTATCCACTTACCTAATAATTCAAGCATTTTATCACACTCGTCAAGTATAAAATGTTTCAAATGCTTCAAATTTAATTTTTTATTTCGTACGAGAGCGAGGATACGACCTGGAGTACCCACAACAATGTGAGGGCACGTGTTCTTCAACACTTCTTCATCTTTTTGAATTGGCAAACCACCAAAAAATACTCCAACCTGTAATTTTAATGTATTATAAAGTATGACAAAAAATATCATTTGCTACATAAATCTAAATTTGAGTAATTAAAGATTATAGAATCTTCTTCAGTGGGGGGTGGTAGTATAAGATATGTCACCATTATTTGGTAAGATAAGAAATTCATCATTTGAAGATTCTCTAACAGAAATTTAATAACTAGATAATAAACTAGAGAAAATATTATTTTTTAATAAATAAAATTTACCTTTACATGAGGCATGTATTTGCTAAATCTTTCATATTCCTTGCTTATTTGAAAAGCAAGTTCTCTTGTGTGGCACATAACAAGAACATATACTTGATTTTCAGTTAACTCTAATTGTTGTAAAGTTGCTAATACAAATACGGCAGTTTTTCCCATACCAGATTTTGCTTGACATAATATATCCATGCCAAGTACTGCTTGTGGAATACATTCATGTTGTACTGTAAATAATATTTCATTTTATTCAACATGTTTTTACATAGCATTTAAAAATGCTTTACATAATAAGCAATCAGTAAAGATAAATCATTCATATATGATCTGTTGTCCCTATCTCGTATCATCACATTTCATATTCTCATAACCTTTTGCAAGTGAAATATGTATGTACAATATTAAAATGATAAGTTGTTATGATGGTTTAGGTACACATATGTGTTTATAGTGCTTAAAAAGTTAATAATTTAAGAAAAAAGTAAAAAAAATAAAAACATTACCTTCAGAGGGGTGCTCAAAACCACAGTCAACAATTGCACGTAATATTTCTGGTTTCAGAAGAAAATCCCTAAAACCACTACTATGAATAGATACATATGTGCCTTTAACTTCTTTTTTAGCAGCTATGTCCCCACTTCCATCAACTACTTGTTCGGTTTGTTCTTCATCTTCATAATCCAAAAGATCATCATTATCCGCCATTTTTATATATATATAATTATAGACTTACTGAAATAAACAAATATTACAATTTATAAAAAAATCTGCATTTGAAATTCTTTCTTTAGATACAGCTAAATTAATAATTTAGTTATTCGATTAATTTTTATACACAATTTTTAAGTATGACTTTGTATCTTTCTTGAAGATTTGTAGAAAATTAGAAGAAAAATTAATTTTCCCGATATTAAAACCTAATATTCTTTAAAATTTTGTAGTTTAAACAATTAGTAATAATATAAATTTGATATATGAAGCTTTTAACTTATTCAATACATCAGAAGGAAATCTATTCCAACTCGCTTTCTTGTGATAACGATTTTTGAGGTCTACATTCATAAAGTAGCCGCCATTTTAGCGACGCTATACAAGTGTTACAGGACAAGAAACTGACTATTACAAAATGAGAACGATTGAAATTACTTTTGAATTATAAATCTATTCTACGTATATAAATCAATTATACGCATAGATGTAAATTATTATAGATTATATAATTTATACTTTATAAGTCTATTCACGTTTTTAGTAAGAGGGTTATAAAGTAAACATTTTTGCACTATATTTCCGTAATATAATATATCCGGCAAATAAAACTATTATCCGTTAATAAAATTTTACATTATTTTCAATGTAATGAAGCACGTTTTTTAAATAGATTGATTTTTAATACATAATTAATCGTGGATTACATTTGGTCAACTTACCTCCGAATACAACTTTCACTAACTGATGCTCACCGCTATTACGGTAAGCACGCTCGTGTATCTTCTTGCAACTATGTACCGGAAGACAGGTGGTGCCAAATAAAACTAATTTTAAAAAATATATAAATTTGTACTACGATTATTAAAAAAATCTACTTTAGATCAATTTATTTGGTAAATTACAGTATAAATTATTTTATTAATAAATGATAACATTAATATCAATTGTTTATAATGTTTCACAATTTTATCGTGTTTCGATAAAAACCGGATATATGTAATCAAGTGCCACCATAGATACAGCGGAGAATAGAATACTCACCTTGTGTAAATTTGTTCACACAATCTGAAATACCGACTCTGACTACAAAAAAAATATAATATAATAAAGAAATTATATAAATGGATTAAATAATGAGGGATACTGACAAACAGTAGAAAATAGACTTTATTACAAAATAGTTTATAACTTTATTACAAAATATAAAATAATCTCCATAGAAATTACATTTATTATATAAAAATTTAAATTATAAATTTATCTTACAATCCTTATCTTAAATCACTTACAAATAACTATCATTATCTCTGCTTCTATATTTCTAGCTCTCAAATTTTAACATTTTTGATAATTTGGCAGCAATATCTTTCCTGTTATTAGATACTGCAACTTGTAATAATGTACATCCAGAATTATCACGAGCATTCATTACAGCTGAAAATTCATCACTATTTAATGCACTTATATTGTCAATAATTTCAGCGTTACCATTTTTTGCATCTATAAATAGCTTCTCAAGTAGTATGAACAAATTATTAACATCTTGGTTATTGGAAAGATCAAATGGTGTTTTGTCTTCCTTATTTTTAATATTATAACATGCACCGTGTGAAAGTAAAAATTTGACAATATCTACTGAAGCATTTTTAGCAACAACATGAAGTGCTGTAACACCACTAGTAGTTGTTTTAGCATTTATAAAATCAATTAATTTATTACGACTTACATGTTGTAATAAAACTTCAATGATTTCCTTATTATTTTTAGAAGCAGCAGTGTGCAATGGTGTATTACCTTTGTTAGTAACTTGTGTAACATCAGCTCCATTTTCTAATAAGATATTTACAACATCTAAGTGTTCATTGCTAACAGCGTAATGTAATGGTGTTCTTCCTTCAGAATCTTTATCATTGACATCAGCTCCATTTTTTAATAAATTACGAACAATTTGTATATTACCATTACTAGCAGCAATGTTGATATTCTTCTGCAAATATCCAATAATCTCTGATGTTTCTGAACCTTGAAGCTTCAAACCAAAATTAATTGCTTCTATCTTTTTTATAATATCCAAAACAGTAGGATGGTTTGGTCCAAAAACAGATTTTATTTTATCAAGACATTCACTATAAACTTTAAATGCACCAATCATTTTGCCCTGAGTAAAAAGTACATTTCCTAGAGTATATTGAGTATTTAATGTATCTGTATGAAGATCTCCAAAAGTTTTTTTTTGGAAATTAAAAACTTCTTGATAAATCTTTAAAGCTTTGTCATATTTCTTCTGAGTAAAAAATACTCCAGCAATGTTAAATAACGTTCTTATAGTATCAGAATGATTAATGCCAAAAACCATTTTCTTCTTCTCAAATACTTCTTCAAGGATTTCTAAGGCTTCTTTATATTTACCTTGGTTACTCAGAACCATTGCTACATTATTTTGGGCATATAAAGTACTGTGGTGATTTGCACCAAACAATTCTTTTCTCTTTTTAAAAACTGCTTTATTTATTTTCAATGCTTCTTCATATTTTCCTTGTTTGTCTAACACCAGGGCTATGTGAAATTGGCTATCTAAAGAATCTGGATGATTTGGTCCTAATATTTCCTCTTGCTTTTTATATACTTCTTGATAAATATTGAAAGCTTCTTCATTTTTTCCTTGTTTATAACGTATTAAAGCATACATGCTTCTTATACTTAAAGTGTATTTGTTATCCAATTCAAATATTTCTTTTTGCTTATGGATGATCTCGTCCAATATATTTATAGCCTCTTGAAAAGATCCTTGTTTATATAGTATTTTGGCTATATATATTTGAATATCTAAAGTGGCAGGATTATCTGGGCCTAAAATTTCTTTTCTCTTTTCAAAAACGTTTCTGAAAATACTGATAGCTGATTCATATTTTTCCTGACGTAAGTGCTTTAAAGCTGTATCAATTTGAGTAGACACATCACCTTGTGATACTTGTTCCAATTGTGTGATTTGTGAAAAGTTATTGTTTAATGCAGCAACTATTAAACTTTGGTTTTCTCTATTACGAGCATTCATTATCGCTTTTATCATAGTAGGATCTTTTATTTCATTAAGGTCATTAATAACTTTAAAGTTGTTACTTTTAACATTTTTAAATGATTCATTCACTAATTTCAGTAAATTAATTATATTTTTATCTACAGCAAAATCTAATGGAGTTTTTCCACCAATAGAAGCAGCATTATATACTGCACCATTAGACAGCAAAACCATAACAATTTTTAAATGAGAAAACTTTGCAGCATAATGCAAAGGAGTAAACCCCTTGCTACCAGCCATATTAGGATTAGCTTTATTTTGTAATAGAATATTAATGATTTCATCGTAGCCTTTCCATGCAGCATAATGTAATGATGTTCCATCATACCCTTTCGAAGCATATTTAGCATTGACAAATGCTCCTGATTTGATGCATTTCTCAACTTGTGAAGCATTATTATGTTTTACAGCCTCAAACAATTTCTCAGTTGATATTAATGGAATGATAACTTTTGAGTCACTGGCCATATCCAATGGTTTTCTACAAAACTTGTCAAGAGTATTATAAATTGCACCATTTTGTAATAGAACTTCAACAACGTAGTTATAATCGAAATTGGCAGCAAAATGCAAAGGTGTTAATCCATTAGCATCTTGAGTATTAATATTAGCCCCTTCTGATATCAAATATTTTACAACTTCCAATTGACCTGTCATTGCAGCATAATGTAACAATGTCTGATTAGCTGTACCAGGATCGTGAATATTTAAGCCTTTATTAAGAAAAAATTCGACAATATCTTTAAAACCTTCTCTGGCTGCAATGTGTATTGGTTTTGAACCAGAAGCATTCCTAATATTAATATCGGATCCTTTATCTATTAAGTATTTTATCATTTCTAAATTACCTTCTTGTGTAGCAATGTGCAACACTGTCCAGGTGTCATTAATCTTAGCATTGATGTCTATTTTTTTATTTCGAGCCAGCAACAATTTTACACTCTCTAGCTGATTATGTGCAACTGCTAATTCAAAAGGCATTCTATTTTTCAAATCTTTAATATTGATATTTGCTCCATTATTTAATAGAATCCTAACAATGTCTACATGACCATATTCTCCCACTGCAAGATGTAATGGTGTACCATTAATAGAGTTAACATTAACTTTGGCTCCTTTTAATAACAAAAGTTCAACAATTTCCTTATTAGCCTTTTGTACTGCAAGATGCAATGGTGTAGCACCTGTTGCAGCAGTAGCATGAATATTAGCTCCTTTTGAGATTAAAGTATTTACTATTTCTGTATGACCTCTTTCCACAGCTAAGTGTAATGGCGTTACATTCTCCGAACATTTTATATTAATACGAGCGTTATTTTCCAGTAAAATATTTACGATATCTCTAAAGCCAGCAAAAATTGCTATTAATAAAGCTTCGCCATTTTTTGCATTAACATTAGCTCCGTTTGTTACTAGAACTTCTACGATTTTTTTATAATTTTTTTTAACAGCAGAAGACAGTGGAGTCATTTCATCCTTATTCTTGACATTAACATCAGCTCCATTTCTTACCAACATCTGAACAATTTCTTTATTTCCAGTTTCTACAGCTGCATGTAATGGAGTATTACCAGCAATACCTGTAGCATTAACTTTAGCTTTATTTTGTATTAGAACGTTAACAACATCTTTGTGACCTCCTATAATAGCCGAATGTAAAATTGTAAAACCAAAATTGTCTATATCGTTAACTTCAGCTCCATTTTTTATCAGAAAAATAACAGCATCTTTATGTCCATGTACAACAGCTGTATGCAACGGTGTAATACCATCATTAGATCTAGCATTAACTTCAGCATTATTTTGTATTAGAAGTTCAATAATATTTTTATTACCATTCGCGGCAGTTGTATGTAATGGTGTAAGACCATAATTATTTCTAACATTTACTTCAGCTTTATTTTTTATCAGAAAGTCAATGATGTCTTTATTATCATTTGTAGCAGCAGCATGTAATGGTGTGTTACCCTTAATGTCTCGAATATTAATTTGAGCTTTATTTTCTATTAGGAGGTTGATAACATCTTTATGACCATTCTGAGCAGCTATATATAATGGAGTAAACATACCACTATTTTTTGCATTAATTTCAGCTCCACTTTTTATTAAAAGATCAGCAATTTCTTTATGACCTCTTTCTGCTGCATAGTGTAATGGTGTAGTTTTATTTTTATCTGTAGCATTAACATCGACAATGTATTCAAGAAGGACAGAAACTATTTCCAAGTGACCACTTTGTACAGCAAAATGTAGCGGAGTCACACCATCAACAGTAGCAACATTAGTATTAGCATTATTTTTCAGTAGAATTTTAACAATTCCTACATGTCCATCTTTTGTTGCATAGTGTAAAGGTGTATTGAGGTAGGTATTATCAGAAACATTAGTATTAGCTCCATGTTTCAATAAAACATTAACTATCTCCTTAAAACCATTTTCTACTGCATAATGTAATGGTGTACAACCATCCAGAACTCTAGCATTGACATCAGCACCATTTGAAACTAGAGTGTTTACTATTTCCAAATGACCATTTAATGCTGCTAGGTGTAATGGTATTGCATCTCTATCATTTCGTGCATTAATATTTGCTCCAATACTTAGTAAATAATTAACTATTTCTAAGTGTCCACTCTCTGCAGCTATGTGTAATAAAGTAAAACCACCCATAATCTCATTAACACCAACATCTTTTTGTAGCAAAATTTTAACCACATCTATATGATTATTTTTTACTGCAGAGTGTAATGGTGTCAAACCAGCTATATCTTGAGTATTGGTATTGGCATTATTTTGCAATAAAATTTCAACAGCATCCTTGTTACCATTTTCAGCTGCAATGTGTAGTGGTGTTTTACCATTATTGTCTTTGTCATCTATATATAAGTCTGTTTTTTGTATAAAAAATTGTACAATATTCTTCCTATCATGTGCAGCAGCAATGTGTAGTGGGTTTTGTCCATTGATATCCTTAATATTAGGATTGAAATTGTGATCAAGGATAAATTTTATAATTTCAGAACTGGATCCTCTAGCAGCAAAATGTAATGTGGTCCACGAGTTAATATCTCTTGCATTGATGTCTGCTCCTTTCTTCAGACAATCTTTTAAATTTTCCAGATTTCCTTCTTCCAATGCAACAAACATTCTTTTCTGATTAATAATGATAGCTAGATTTTGTTCATATTTTTCTTTAAATGTAGAAGGATCATCTCTGACCAATTTTCCAATTTTCTTTCTATTCTTAATTATATTTTCTGTAGTTAGTTTTCTAGCATTTAGAATAAGTGATAGTGAGGGATCAAGTAATAATATACTAACTAAGGCATTATCATGTGCTAAATGGTTACGCAAACATTTTCCAGTTAACAGGGGAGCATTATCATCTAAAAGAAACAGATTATCTTCCAAATAATTCTTCAAGCTACCTAAAATTGACATTATATCTAGCATAAGCATTTTTATTACTACCTGCAATTTTTCATTCTTTTTATAAAAAGAACATTTTTCAACTAACTGATCATTTAATCCATTACTACTTAAAATGTTTTTTAATTCAGATAGCTTTAGTGCAAAGTGATTATTATATTCTTTTTCTGTTAAACTGCAAGTCCATTTTTGTTTATTAGTAGGCATGAAAGAACATTTTTCATTTAATTTTTCTCTTAATCTTTCAATCCATTTGATATCATTTATTCCAAATTCAGCAATGTAACAAATTTCAAAAACTAATCTGTTTACTTTTTCAAGGTTGCCATTTTGTATTCTTGTTTTAACACTATGAGAGATTTTCATTGTCAATTCAGCAATTTCTTTAAGACTGTGAGACTCTACTTGGGGAGCAAAATTTTCTAATATTTTAGAAGCAAAAAATTTCAAACCTCTAACAATATTGTCATTCATTTCATTGTGATTAAAGGCAATGCTTAAACATTTTAATAATTTAAATCCTGTAACATAATCAGCTCTTATATTTTTTGATTTATTTCTTATGAAATTGATTGTGTTATTAACTTTTTCAAATAGTTCTTTTTCATAATCTGTCTTGTCAGTTATAGCATCACTTAATTCTTCAGTAAATTTTTGAAGTTTCATGTATTCTTTCACTTTAAAACTTTCTGGGATCGTTTCATTAAATTCGATATTACTGAAATCCGTTAGAACAATTTTTATTTCATCCGCATTTTTGCTACTCACTATTTTTGTTAGGAGAATTCTAATCATTTTTATTTTGTTGCCATAAAGAATATTAGTAACTACATCATGAACTTTTTTCATGTCATTTTGAACACCAATAAAAAAATTAACATCTGCCTCTACTTCAATCTCTATTCTTTTAGAGAGTGAGTAAGTATGCGACAATGAATTTCGTAAATCTATAATAATTTCTCTTGTATTCTTTGGTAAAGATAGCAGAAAAAGTTCACTTGTAGTATTAGATAATTTAGGAGATTCCAGAGTATTTTTTAAATATTCACCAATAACTTGTAATGCTCTTATGATAATTAATTGCCCTTCTCTTTCTGCAGGATCAGTTGATAATGCCAACTTTATATAATTATCTATTTGCTCTAAAGAATAGATATCCCTAATTTGTTGATAATCATTATATAATTCTTCAAATTCAGGATACTTATTAATAATGCCTTCAACAACTGTATCCCGTCTTAATTTTGGGAGACTAGATATTTTACTAATATTCATTGTTCCTATTTTCATTTTTTCTTCTTGAAGTTTCTTTCCGAAATTTTCTAATTGATTTAGTATTTTTCTCTTATTCAGTATAACATAATAAAATAGATTAATTTCTTCACGTTTAGTGTGAGAAGAAATAAAACTGACCAAATAAAATTCTATTTCTTCCCAAGGTATTCTATCATATGTTGATTTCAATTGTTGTTTCAATACATGAATATTTTGTGCAATAAATTTTGTTACAAATAAAAACTTTTCATCTACAGTTTCTGTATTTGAGTACTCTGTTTTTAACAAATCAATGTTTTCAAGTATTAATTCAATTCGCTCTTTAATTGTATTAAAATCATATCTACAACTTTTACACTGTTTAGAAGTATCAGAAAAAAAACGGAGGTTTATTAACTTATTTTCAACAAAAATTTCCATTTCATCTGATAATAGTACATTCTTCAGCTTTAATTCTTCATAAGCTCTTGAAAGGATTTCATCCAGTTCATCCAAATGAAAACTGAAGTAATTACTTGGCCATTTGTTAATTAGTATATCAAGAAGTTCAACATTATTCGAACGTACAGCATAGTAAAATGCATTATGGCATGTTTCATCTTTATTACTTGGTAGCAGAGTATTTGTTTCAATATCCATGGATAAATTATTTAGAATTTTAGTATCATTATCAAACAGATATTTTAGTACCTCTTGTTTATTTTGCTTACAAGCTAAAATAACTAAGTTAGTGTTTTTTATAGGATTACTAGCATCACTGTAATAATCTTTCAAAGTTTCTCCATCTTCTATCTCACTCGTGTATTCTATCAATATGCTTAATTTTTTTAAATTATTAATATTACCTTCCGATACTGCTTTTTCAAGTTCACTGAAAACCAGAAGAAAGAGTTCTTTAGCTTTAACTTTTTCATAGTTTTGCTTTTTAAATTCTCTTACAAATTCTTCTTTTGACGCATATGAACGTGATAAAAGTTCTTTATTTTTTGTATAACAACTAGTTTGTTGTTTAATTGTATTTGTATCCTCCATTATTTATACCCTATTAAAATAACGAAGTTCACCTAATATAATTAAATTTAAAATAACATCTTTTGTGAATAAAATATCTTTAAAAGAAACACTTACTTTAGTATTGTAAAAGATTTATTTACTTTTTAGTAATATATTTGTAGTGACACAATGTAGAAATCTTCCAAAAGTATCTTTAGTGTATTTACATGAGAAGAATTGTGTATTTATTTGAATATAAACGGTTATATTTTCACAATAAATACAAACAAATTGATTCAAATATAACTTGTCAAAATTCGGTTTTAAAGTATAATACTATTATAGACGAAAGATCAAATAATACACATAAAACAAGGGACTAAAACCTTAAAATCCAAAAATTGTAATGAACACTGATGATAAAAAAAATACATATAGCAATCCTTGATTACAAATGCATTTCTTCCTTGTAACCGACATTATTCTAACATCTCCAGCAGTTTTTGACGCTGTCATGACACGAACGTCGCACTAACCAAATAAACTACCCCTATCAAAATAAGGAATTAATAAATAAAGTTTGTACTCAGTGAATAATAAAAATACTTTAACGTTCTTTAAAATAGCATAGCTCCCTGAAAATTAATCTAAACAATTTCAGTTCGTTTTCAAAAAATTAAGATTAAGTCACTGCATAGATGTGTTATAATTTTTTTAAATTACAATTTATCGAAATGATGAAGAAAATAGTAAAGGATATTTTTTACTACTTTTTTATTTGCATCTGCAATTAAAATTCAAAGAAGTACTCTGTTTAACGAGAGAGAAAAATCACTCGTTTCATTCATTCATTCATTCTGCACATGTTGGTTCTCATTCCGATTGGTTTGAGCTCCGTAACTAAGAACAACGCGCATGCGCGTTTGCTATTTTTGTGACACTAAACGTACATACTTAGTGTCGTTTTATTTCCTATACTTATTACATAAAACATGACATCTCTGGAATTTGAAAATTTTAAACAAGTATATGTATTGCCTATTTCACGAATTAATGGTATTGTTTAAATATGGTAAAGTTTATTTAATAACATCACAGATACAATAATTATGTACACAATTGTCAGAGAAAATGTTTAGCCTGATGGTTAAACACTTTCAAGTATCCCATTGTCAATGTAAGCACTGAAGTACTAGATTTCAGATAAATGTGCTCCATAAGGGCGGATATCCGACAGTTTCGAAATAGAAATTTCGATTTTTGAAATCGTACTGTAGTCTAGAATTACAATTTCTTCTAGACACACGTTTATACTTGCATTACATCTTTTTTTTGCTAATTATTAATACACAATTAGCAGCCACCTGTATTACCCCAATTGTATTACAAGTTATCTTCTGACGAGGATAATTTATCAAATACATAAAGTTTCAATTGAGCGTCGTGCCTTTGTGGAGGCGCGGCAGAATCTGGTTTCACCATCTGCGAGGCACATGGAGGGTCTATGTTACGGGGTAATAAGGTATGATTGAGCTCAGGCATAGAGGCAGTTGGATCCTTTAGAGGCAATGTTACTTCTCTCAATGAGTCTGTAGGTGAAGGAGGAAGCACCACTTTCTCAGGAGCATTTTGAATAAATATTACTCTGAAATACATTATTTATTGAGTTGTAATTAAAATACAATTAATATCTAATTAAACAAATGAAACAATTACTGAGCATGTTACCTGTTGAATGCTCGCCATTTTCTGCATAGCGTAATGTATGCTTTACATTGAATGTACATAAAAACTAAGCCTCCTGTAGAACCAATTACAACAACTATTAGTTTAGTCCAGAAAGACCAGTCTACGTATCCACGTCGAGCTTCTTCTACAGATCGTTCAACAAGTATATATAAAGACCAAGCCACACAAAGTGCAGCTACTGCATGAAAAGCAACTGCACACCATAATTTGCGAACTTCTAGAGCAGACATTTCGAGTTTTTCCCACTGAAAATTATTATTTATTACCGCCTATTGTTCCCTGCTCATTATAATAAAGAATAGATGATTTAGTATCTTATTTTAAACAAAAAGTGTGTGCAATTATACCTCACAGAATGGCTTTGTTTTAGCATGCATAATAAATGTGAATTTACATAATTCACAAGCACGTATGTCTGAAGCTTTTATCCATTGTTGAAGACAAGTTTGATGTACGTATCGTAAACTGCCACTGCAGTAACAAGGTGCTAACAGAGGAGCACTTTCTTCTCCTTCACAATGACATATTCTACAACAAAGAAGCAAAGATGTACTTGGTATATCTTTTAGATACTTTCATGTTAACTTCTTAAAGATGAGTAAAATTAATTATTTGATCATACTTTATACAAAATTGTATGCTTACCTACAAATATCATGATTGCTTGAAGACAATGTACTGACAGATGAGTGACAATGATCTGGTATGATGGTAACTACTGTTGCATATGCTGATTCCTACAAAATAAGTACTTTAGTAAATAAGTCCTTAAGAGTATGGATATTCTTATAAAATGTAATTACTGTAACTATAAATATGCATTTAAAATATATTTATTTCAAGTTACATGAATAATTTCACTGTTCAAATTGAAAGCATATGTATGTTGAGAATATATATGAGTCAAGAGATATATGAATATGAAGTGCACCAAGTATTCCGCAGTATGGACTATGTGAAATACATCAACCCATCATGGGCCAGGAGACTGTGAATTTGATAATGCTTGAAGTATGCAATTTATTTTTAACATAAATGACTTTATAGTTTCATAGCTCGCACTATTATATTACATCTATTGTTTCAGGCTTTTAAGTATAAATCACATTCATTAGCAAAATATTCCTGACATTTTGTAAACATTGCAACTAACTTTACCAGAAGTCATTAGAAACATTTTCTTATTGTACATGATTTATACTTGAAAGCCTGAAACAATATTATTTCTACCACTGTAATGCTGCAAGTAATAATAATATTAAGTGTTGTCTTAAAAGTCTTAAGACTAAATAATATGGAACAAATTACCCTTGGTGTCCATTCTGGTAAACTTTCACCACCAGCAGGGCTATTATTATTGGAAGGACCAAGTGACAAAGGTGGTTGCCAGTCAGGCGGATTAACATTGATCTGATGAACCGGCATCACTCTTTGGCCTCAGTAAAGATGTGATCAATGATAAACAACATTAAATAAACACATCCTAATGAATGTTTGGTAATTTTTTTCCATTGGTATCATATTTTGCAAATCAATATTTAATTATATCAAAAAGTCTTTCATTGTTGTGTTCAACATGTAATTTTAATATACATGTAAAAACCTGAAATTATATTTCGTTGAATATTACAGAATTAAAATATTTGCAAAAACTTTATTTGTGCTAAAGCATTTATGCAAAATTATAATGATATCGACCTGTCACTAATTATAAAGATTACAGGTATTTAAAAATTATCAAGTGGTAAATATACTAAAGATAAGGAACAAAAATATTTATTGATATCAGTGGTATGTATTCACAATAATAAAAGTTTGAACGTGTATACATAAAATATATTTCTTGTTAACAATTAATGAATAAACTTAAACAATGTTAAATAATTCAAATAAATTGAACAATGATTTTGGATCTACTTGACATTGAAATTAATAAAATTTGGATGAGCATGAAAGGAACAATATACAAAAATAACTTATAATGATGGATCATGTTACACTACATAAATTTTGTCGAAAGCACCAGATAAATGTAACATTTGCGTCGAAAATTATTTGATAAAAAAAAACAAAGCATTGGCGTCACATACATCTTTTCATTTCCGTGTAAATTCTACCAGATGAGAATTTTCGATTTGATAACAATTGATTAGCCAAGAAATATATTGTTCAGATCTGATTTCAAACAGTCGAACAAAGTTTCTTAAACAAATTATCGATGTAAACGTCTCGATGAAATTTCAGGAGAGCTAGTTAGTACGATTTTGACACTTCGACTCGAGTCAATGACACAATACAGGACAGTCGTATTCACTGCAGTAAATTAATTAACTTTCACGATTTGACATTCGAACGATTTAAAATATTTCATTTGATTCATCACCGTTCACCTTTTAAACACGTTCTAATAATTACATCGATATTCAAAGTTACCACGAATATAGACTTCATTACATAGCTTAGTCCTTCCTTCATAACAGTCTGTGTATCTCATTTCTTTGATGCGCCGCCATAACGTAGAGTGTAGGCGTGGCGTATGTATAGGCTCGACCAATCAGTTACTCGGAATTGACATTAAATATTATTGCGCCAATGAGCGAGGTTTAGTTTGAATTTACTTTATTTCAACATGAATTTGAAAAATAAGTAATGCATACAGCTTATAATTGCATTAAATAATTTATTGACTTCATTATTTACATATTCCTTCTGTATTATAAGTTTAATATGATAATACAAGGAAATATAACAATACTTATGTTTATATCAATCCTTAATTTTATAGTAATAATTATTTATTTAACTTTCTAAATATCATCTGAATTAATTTCTTTCGTAGATGAAATTAAATCATTTTCATTAAATTCATCAAAAGATGTAAAATTAAAAATTTTATTTTCTTCTTCGTCTTCAAATTGTAAAAGTGTATCATTACATGTAGCCATACTACTGGCATTTCCTATGTAATTTGGTAATATATTTAAATGAACCATAGAACTTTTTACATTTGGTAGATTCTTATAAATGGTATTATCATTATCAAATGTTTCTAATAATTCTATACCTTTATAAACGTTTACTTCTTTCAACGTATTTTCTCCATTTGAATTTTTAATATTTACAGCTCCTAATAAATGTTTATTGTCTATATTCTCTTTTGAATTAGACAATTCTTTTCTTATATTATTAGATTCAAGAGGTTCATAAATATTACATTTCTTTTCTTCTTTACTGCCTTCCAATATCTCACTAGCTAAATTATATTTTCTATTATCTTCTATACTAATGTTATGTAATGTGCGATTATTACTATTATTGTAAGATGATATTAATACATTTTTATCATATTTTTTCTTTACAGTTAGGTCATTAATGTTATTTTTTAAGTCACTGTTCATTGCTGTAGGTTTTGGATTTCCTTCATAGTTCTCAGTTTTATATTCAGGAACATTTTTTTTATAATTATTTGCACTTTCATTAACAGAATTTTCAACTGCTATAAAAATTAATAAGATACATAAACAATAAACTAATATTTTTTACTTAATTTACAGTGTTAAGATAAACCTACCAAAATTTTGAGTTCTTAAAATTGGAATATTTGAAAGTACTTTTCCAACTAATAAACCAGCTATAAATATAAATAATAAATGTATGACATAAATTCAATATGAAACATGATATCTATGACAATAATTGACATAATCCATACCAGCCATCCCCACTGCAGTACCTCCAATGAAATATGACATACTATTCTCATTTTTTGCTTTCTTTTTCTTAAACATTTTTAAATTACAATGGAATTAAAATATATAATTATATGAATAAACTTTATTAATAGAGGTATCCAAGAGATATCACTTTCTGCAATATTCTAAATACACTAAGGACATTTTAAGGACATATTAAGGTAAGGGTGAAACATAAACACTAAATGTATGTTATAGCAAAATAACTGATATATTTGAATTACTTTAGTTCAAAAATTTAAACTAGTCACTTTACAGATTAAATATATATTAATAAATCTTATATTATTACAAATGAAATATAAAGAAACCTTAGGAGACACATGTCAAAATGTAAAATTTGAAAATTATTAGAACTGAATAATTTCAGATAAATATTGTGTATTGAAATGACTTTAATTCTTCTGGAAAATATAATTCTTTCTTTATTCAAATAATTTATATACTTAACACGAGTACTAATTAACTTAAGCCAGTGGACTGAATGTTTAAAATAATTACATATGTATAAAAAATTGGAAAATTAAGTAAATAAACCAAACTAAAAATATAAACGAGTACATGCTTGGAATTTGACAGCTCTTTTACAAGTTGGACACTTTTTAGATGCACGTAATGCTTGCTCTAAACATTGTGCACAAAATATATGTCCACAACGAGTAGACATAGGTTTCATTTTAGAGGATAACTGCTCAAAACAGATTGGGCAAGTTAACATAATTGTGTTTCCCTGAGTGGAGTCGTTAAGATAATATATTCCATTTTGCTCCGATGGGGCAATATTATCTAGATCTATGATTTCCATTGCTTCCACATCTTTACATGAACTTTCAACTGATATCTCTCTAGAACAAAAAATTCAATAGTTAAATAAATTTATTGTTTTGTTGAATAATACTCCAGTATAGTAATAAATCCAAACATACATTACAGAATCATACAGTTGTGCTGTCTGTCGTTTACTTAATTTACGCCTTCGTGATTTTGTTGCGCTGTTATTATTACATATATTTTCAGCATTTTTGTTTCGTACTTTTAAATGATTATCTCTTGGTGAGTCTACAGTCAGGTCAATAAAATCAATTGGATCTGATGTGTTTTGCATTGTATCTATAAAATATATGAAATATATACGTATATACACGTGCCCACTATAAATATAAATAAATTTTAATAACCTTAACAAAAGTTAAAACAAATTTATTTCAATTGTTTATTCACTTTATAACGGTTTGCATCGATATTCTATTTTTCTCTATACGTGTATCCAAATCTTTAAAACGTTATTAACCAATATTATTACAGTTTACATTATTATTAATTATTCTCTAACCTTATTTTTGTCACTAATCGTATTATTATCCCTTCTTTTTAATATTTATTAATTGCGATAAATCGCACAGCACATCAAGTAACAGTAGTTTACATCAGTTTAAAAACACTTCCAGAAAATCTTCGTTTACGTATGAAAGCAGAACAGTTTCGATAGTTCCGACCAAAGAGTAGGGATTTTATCTCTATATTTTGTTTGTTTTCGATTTTTGATTATCGATATAACTCTATTTCTAAATCGATATGTATTCAAATTTAAATTACAAATAAAAGGTAAAAATTAGTACACATCAGCCAGAAAGATAATTTTATAACAAACATATTATATATTCAAAATTATTGTTGTACATATTACAAAATTATTAAATAATTTATTTATATAATGCTATTAATAGATATACTCATATAATATAAAATTGCAATGTGTGCTTATTCATTTTTTAACGTAAATTATACATATAATAGTGTCTTGTTATATGGCCTTATATAGAGTTGTAATTTAGTAGAAAAATCGGGATAGGGTCATACAATTTGAAATCTTATGCAACACTTGATCGTAAAAATGTGTAAATTCAGAGTTACTAACATTTTTTGCATGCGTGATAGTGAATGTAAAATAAAGTTATCTAAACAGGCTATAAAAAAGGAGCCATATATCAAGACTACACTGTAGTTTGTAAAATTCATAGCCAGACCTTTATTACATATAAATATTTTGTAATATATTTTAATATATATATACATGTTATATAATTATATATGTTTAAAAAATTCGCAAATTAAGAGAATTAAAAAATTTATATATATGTATGTATGTATATGCGGACTATTGTAAAAGTACAGAAAATACATAATTTATAATTTTAATACTTTCAGCTCTACAGATAACACTTTCCAAAAATTTCTTGAGCACAAATTATGACCAAAATCATGCATCGCAAGATACATACTCATTAAAATACAAATTGAATTATATACAAAAATTATATAACAGAGATATGTAGGCACTTTACACATCATTGTGTTGCTATAAAAGTATGTGTACACATATATTTAAACAAATATAATGCAATATTCATTTATTAAACTTGTAAAAATGCAACTTATATTGTTTCTATATTTCATTCACTGTTAAGGACACTTTCATTTTTAGAATTATTTGTTGATAGGACTTCCTACATATAGCTATGGTAATAAAAAGAAACTATTTAATGTCAAAGTTTAAAATAAACATAAACTTTTACAGGTATTACTACACACACGAATTGACTTTTATATTATTATTGCAAATAGTTGATACTTTCTTACTTATGTAATCTTTAAAAATCTGTCCATTAAGCAACGTACCAATATATCCTTATTGTAGCGTTTTAAGTAAAAAGAGAACAGGCTTATAACATTCTTAGACGATTAAATGTACGGTTTTATAATTAATTTACAAGAAATATTTACTTAGCTAATATTTCTTAAGATATTTTCGCTATAATAAAACGTTCTCGATTACTCATTTATACTAACAATAATTATAAACAATGATATTAACAAAATGGAATTCTCTTAAATTTGATACGAATAACATTTTTATATTACGTATAAAGGCAATGATATATCTTATCAATTTCAGTCGTCCACTCAATGTTTTTTATTCATACCATTTTGAGTGGATAGTTCAGGTTCATTTTTTACTATATAAAAACACCTTGATAATTTTCGAATTATTATAAAATGGACGGTAAAATTCCAATACTTTATCAAAAAATACTAGTAGTCCTTAGATTTTTTACAAAATACCTGATTAATTAATAACGAAACAAAATTTATATCTTTGGTTATCATGTACAGTGAAGTTTCGCTATATGCCTGTGGAGGGGATGATACAAGTGAAACAAGCCCGAAAATTTATGTGAACAATTCGTCTCACAAGTCATAGAAAAGGCCATATAGCGAGACTGCACTGTCGATCAACAAACTACATTACGTCATTGGTTAATGAGCGTCTCGACTACTTTTATTACGATTGCGTAATAACGAAGCATCCAACAGAGAATAAGTACCAGGTTCGAATACAGGTGGATATTCAAGACCAGGATAATCCGGTGGTGGTATATAAGGTAATGTTGGAGGAATTGCCGAATTTCTGCTTGCAGATGTATTTCCTTTCTGATATAAAGGATGATTTGTACCAGTCTAAAAATAATTTCATTTTTAAATATATTTAATATTATAATGTAATGTTTAATGTTATTCTGGGAGACATACTTTCGACGATAAATTTGGAGTAGACGGCGATGGTACATCTGGACTCCAATCACTAGCAGTGCTAAAACTTTGATTGGGAGTATGAGTACTATTTCCAGTGAACGAACTGACTGATTGACCAACTCCACTATCGCCAGGACTTTGGCTACTACTAGATCGACTGGATAATCGTGATTGATTATAACATTTTTCTCGAAATAGTGCTCTATGTAATCTTGGCGAACCTATTCAAATTTCATAAATCTTAATGTAAAATATAGTTAATATTCTTAATTTACATATTCAACATTTACCTAATAAAGTTTTCTGCGTCTCCTTAGGCAAATCGAGCGTGGATGGTTTTTGTTGACATTTGGTTCCGAATAAATTTTTCAAGCGATTTGGTTTTTGAACCTGTTCACCTTTATCCAAATGCATTTCAAATGCAGCGGTCATCCCCTCTTGTTCAAATGGCGAAGTCGGTATAGGAGGTGGTTGATACTGCGCTACATTTTTTAAGCGGGTTTTGTCGTAATCTACATCTTTCTTATCAAAGCGTCGTAAAGAATCTAACCAATGCTTATCTGATGAAACATGTTCACGACGATTGGTTAAGTTAAAACTTCCTTTACGACTAACAGATGCTTCTTTTTTTGTACGCTGTAAAGTATCGTAGGAAGCGTGAACCGTAAGATCATTGTTAGACCCAGAAGAACCTAAAAAGACAAAGGATTACCTTAGTTCTATTATATTTTGGGATTATTACATCAATTATAATAAATATAAATTTACCTTCATTTCGAATAAGTCGTTTTGGTATTGACTTAATATCCTCTACTAAATTACTAATATTTTTAGATGAATGATATTCATAAGGTCTAGAAATGTCATGATTACTTGAAGACTGTATTTGACTTGCATAAGCATTTGTATTATAATCGTAAGCAATGCTTACTTGTCTATTAGATTTTTCAACATCTGATTTAGTATGACACAATGAAGTTGACTGCTTTTGTTCATTTGCGGTCTTACAATGATATGAATTACAAGGTTTTATTTGTGGAGAATTTAATCTATCTACTGTTTTCTTCTTGTTAGTACAACCAAACTCATTTGATTTTTTGTGAATTTGAGATTTTAATGCTTCCCCTGTATTTCTTTCCGAATCGAAATTTCCACTAGACTGTCGACTATGGGCGTTATCAGCATTCCGTGAGTAACCATATACAGCAGTATTATTTACTGTTTCATCGTTGTTTTTACTCCGGGAATATACGGTATCATTATTGAACACGGCATCAGTAGCAACTTTGGACTGTTCATTACCTGTTTCATTGTCATAAAAATTTCTATGCTGAATGTGAATGTGATCACTACTTAAAGGTGTCACTCGTGGTGACATAGATCTATTTCTTGACATTTGTCTTTGATCTTCTTGTTGCGATAACATAAATTCTTCTAATGTAATAAAACCTTGAAGGTCATCTGGTCTTCTACTTCTGTTACTAAGACACCTAAGCATTAAATACTATTTCACTATTTTATTACATTTAATATAATAGAAAAAAAAATTATAAAATGCATAAGATGTACTGTTCCTTGTACATAATTAACATGTATTTTAAAATCAATTAAGGGTAGAGTATAGGACAATAGTTAGAATAAGGAGAAAACATGCACAAAATATAAAAACATATAAAATAAATTTAATCAGCATTTTACGTTTATTAGTTTATTGTAAAATGAAATGTATAACAATATTTTTTATTGCAACTGTTCCTTTTTTCGTGCGTTTTAAGATCAGGAATTTACTTTTACGTTCAATATAAAAAGAACAAAATGATAAAAACGAATTGATAACAACTTAAAATTAAAACAATAAAATTAATGTTAGCTTTACAACATGCAATATAAACTGTTACCTGTCTGTTGTACGTCTGTAATCACCCATATCTTGAGTATTACTTGACATGTCAGTAGCGCTATGAGATGAACATAATCCATAAAATGTGCTTCCCGCAATTGTCATTTGTAAGTCAGGTGAATTTGGAACAGAATCTTGCTTTCTGAAAAATAAAATTTATATTATATCCTTATTTTAAACGAAATATTTTATACTAAATAAATTTACTTATTAGATGTAGATGTCGGAAGCACCCTTCTATAACTCCTAAATTGTGCTGTTGGAACAGGTACATTATGATTCCTGGTACCAAGAAATTTTAAATATTTTCTATCTAAACTAGCACCACTGATTTCATGATCCTTGTATACAGTAGAATCTTTTCGAACAACTTTTTTTAATGATCCAAACGATTTTTCAAAATTTGGTTTATATTCTGGCGTCTGCACATTTTTTGCTTTACTTTTTTGTTCGCCATCGCTCTCATCTGTTTCGCTGAAAAGGGCGCTATTTCGACTGTGCCCATCCGCACCTAAAGTTGCTTTGTTAATTGCTTCTAACCACATAGCAAGAGAATCTTCCGTATCTGCAGCAAAGTAGAATACCGTTCCTGTATAATAAACTTTGAATGCATATCTTCTCGATTTTACTTCAGCAGCTCGTGACACGGTGAATCCTGTTAAAGCTATAAGACAATCTGCTTTCAAGCTATTCTGGCCCTTAAACCTATAAACATAAATGCAATTAAACAAATATTTATAACATAAATATACTAATGTTAAAATTCATATGACAAACCTGTATAAGGAGGAACATTTTAGGACAAACCAAGCTTTAGCCCAAGCACCACCCGCACCTCTTGTGCGGTATGTTAACCAACCCTCTAAATCACTTGTTCCTATATCTTTAACAGAAATATTCCTTTTTCCTAATTAAAAAATAATACATAAATCAGTATTAACAAATACAAGGTTTTATGAATATTGGTATAATTCTTATGTGCTAGTTCCTTACTTGCAAGTAAAACACTTCGTTTCCGATTACTTCTAGGACTATTGCTGGACGATTTGTTTAAACTTCCATGCAGTCCAATACTTCTAGCTACCATCATAGCTTTGTTAACTACACCCTTTTCAAAGCTTCTTTCTTTGTCAGATACTTTAGATTTATGTTCTGGAAATTGTGATTGCTTCGAAGAACATGAACCATCTGGAGAATCCCTATTTTGTGAACATGTTTCAAAATTATGACATTCTATTGGTGAGCTAATATAAGCAGACTTATCAGCAATAGATTCATAAATATTACAGCCAGATTTATTTTCTTTTATTTGCTTGTCATTGCATTCCGTGTATAAAGGATCTATGCTTGAACTAGGTCTGTGATCATTACTCAAATTATTCGACTCGTCGATAAATTCTATTGATTTAGTCGTATAATGATTATAAGCCTCAAAATAATCTTGTCTTTCTTGATGATCTACATTACTCTTTGTATGATTTTCTGTAGAGAATTCCGTTTTTTTTATATCTTTTCTGGTATTGGATCTTTCGGATGTAGTATATTTTTCTTGATCCTCAAATGCTTTTGAAGTATTCTCTATAGATCCATCTGTTAACTTTGAAAAGTATTTACGTGGTGGAGGATCTGGTGGTATTAAATGAAGTTTAGTTTCTAACATCTTGCTAGATTCTATTTTTGTTACCTCTGAAGATTTACAATGTTGTACTGCACTTCCTGTATTGCATTTTCGTTGATTAATTAAATCATCAGCTTCTGTATTGTCATTTTTTATTTTCTGAAAAATTTGAATTTGAGAAATATTCTGAGCAATACTCTGAATATCATCCTCGGTAGAATTTAAATCATTTGCTGTTATATTAGATTGTTTCTCCATTGACTTTGTATGTTCTACCGAAGTATAATTAAATGTTTGAAGAATTTTTCGAAATTTCTTTGAATTCGAATTATTTTCATTATTATTTTGCACATTACTATCTGCTAATTCCAATTTATTTTCATTTTTTTCATGACTTGAAATTGTATCATTTACGACATTTTGTGTGATACATGTCTTTGATACATCTTCCAATTCAGAATTAAAATTGTTCATTACATTTTTTTTATCACATTTATTTAGGTCATTAATAAGATAGTCATTATTGCTTTGGTTATTTTCTATATTGTTTTTGTGATTTATATCAGTTATCTTAGATACTGTAATTTTACGTGAATCTAAATTTTGAGATATTTCCAAAAATTGCTTCTCTACATTATCTTGTATATTATGTCTAACAGGATCAGTCACTTTTTCAATTCTATTACTATAAAGCTTTTCTTGAGTACTTTGTTTTTGATCACCACTATCTTTTAGCTTCTTTTGATTTCCACAATTTACGAAAGTCGAATGATTATCAGTCTTGGTTGCTAATACATTGCTTATATTACTTGTATTGTTCACAGATGGTTCTAGAGTACAAAATAATTTTTTCCTATCTTCTACATTATCACTGTCTATTGAATCATATGCTGGTGTGCTATAACTTTTATCTAATCTTCCCCGCTCTTTACTACTACATATATTAGATTCTTTACTGCTAAGTGTATTTTTATTATTACTATTTTTATTTGTAATAAAGTTGTTGCATTCATCTAAAGGCACACTCGTATCACTGAAATTATCATTAGTGGTAACATTAACAGATGTCTGAGAAATTTGGCTAAGACTATTTTTGTTACTAATAGTTAACATGTCTTCACAATTCTGAACAGTTTTACATTCATTTTTTGTTTCATGCATAGTATTCTCTATTTGAAGAACATCAGATTTAAGAGATTTGTCTTGAAACTGTACTTTTTTATCATCAGTTTGCCCATCATTTCTTTTTTTTCTTTTACATTGTTCTATACTTATACATGTTTGTGGTCGAATATTAGATGGTACATTATCTAAACCATGAGCACAAGAAGCTGCTTTATCTCGTAACTGAGAAGTTGTACTGTGTTCCTGCTTTAACTCTTTCCAGAATTGTTCAATATCAATTCCATGCTTAGTAGTAGGACTAGCACCAGTTATAGTAGCACGTCTTTGAACTGAATTTCTTGGCTTCGTTGAATACAATCGAATGGATAAAGGTGGTTCTGTTTCGCTGTCTGAATCACTACTATCTATAATCATTGTATCTAATATATTGACAGTGTCTAAAATACTTGCAGGTTCTGGACTGGGATTCTTTGGCCTGAATGATTGTAAAATCAAATTGAATTATTTGTTTTTTTATGTATAATAAATTCCTTATAATACATATGTACATATAATAAATACCTTGGTAATGGCATTGTAAAATCTGGTATGGTTAATAATTCTGGCCTTGGTGATGGGAGATTGTGCTGCCATCGGGTTGTATAAGTTGTTTTTTTATTGCTTGGAAGTCTATATGGTTTTATGTAAATCTGACCATATACTTTTGTATGTCTTGGTCTGCGTTTCAAAGTTAATAATACTTCTGCTGGACTTTCACGAAATAATTCTAAGAGATTTTTTCGTTCCCAACCAACCACAGTTTGGTAATTAACCTACAAAATTTGTTTGAATTATTAACAAGCAAACCTAAAATAGAAAAGCAAAAAAAATACCTGAACAATTTCATCCCCTTCTTCCATTTTACCACATTGATGTGCAGCTGACCCAAATTTAATTTCAGCAATTTGATGGGCTCCATGAAAGGATGGCAAAATATAAAATCCCTAAAAAAGCAAAAATAAAGAAATTTTTACTTTCTCTCATAGTAATTTTACTACATGTTATTGAGACTTAATTATCTAAACAGGAAATTAAAGTTGTGTGGAACTGATGATTACAGTATTATCTTCAGAGGATGTAGCAGGATGTAGATACTTCCACAATGATTATAAAATATAGCATTCCATAATTTATGTCAAATAGTGTTTTAAATCAGTTTAATACTTACTAAATCATCTCCAGGTTTCTTTTTTAATGTTGCTAGATCTAAACTAGCAGGTTGCAATATCATAGGATCAGTAATATCCTGTATTATATAATCTGCCAATTTTGCTAACTGACCACAAATCGTTCTAATCTCTTCTATTGGTTTTTCTGCAAATCTGTCTCTTTGTGCACATGTAGCCATTTCTAAAGCCAATTTCATTAATTCAGCTTTTTTGTCATTATATTCTAACTGGCCACTAAAAGGAGGACGATCAAGCCATCTTACTAATGGTTTTACAGCCATTATAACAGATGCTACATCAGACAATGTTTGAGTGGTAACAGGCTTAGAATCTGTCTGACGGGATAATTCATTTTGTAAACTGTGTGCCTGACAAGATAATCGTAATGCCAATAACTGTAAATTTTCACGATCAAGTTCATAATGAAAATTCCTTAAATATTCTACAGCTTCAAGAATAATTTCTTGGTGGCCCAGTTTTAACACTCCAAGATGTTCTAGATCTTCTGGTCTTAGATTTAATAGTTGTTGTCCATTAACACTGTGATTCATAAAACTATGTACATAAGGAAGTACTGAATTATCCAAACCTATAATAAAAATTATAAATGATTAAAAATATTTTAATGCTTTGATATGTTCAAATATTTCATAATATAATGAATTGTAAGAATGAATTCGTTTTTTAAAACAATGCATGTAAACAAATAGTGAAAAAGATAAGGAAAATAAAAAGTCACAGATATAAATAAAATCATTGTAATAACATGTTTTTTAAAAGGAATTAGGCCAAATATAATTAAGAATGGTTTTGAAATGATATATCATTTACGATTTAATCATTATTTATGATACTAATGAAACGATTAATTGAAAGGAACAAGAGAGGGGTGTGGATGTATACAGTGAACTTTTCCCATGCAAATTACAATTATATATTCATGTAAATAACAAAATTCACTAATTTCTTAAAATATATTGCAAAATAAACTAATTTACGGAAAATAAAATTTTTCGCACCTTTTAGCCATTCGCACACTTGATCAGTTTTCCATTCAGCCACATTAACATACGCCATGACCCGATCATGTACTAATTCACAAAATGTTGAAGATTTTATTTGTCCTCGATTGTTCTAATTTCCAACTTGCCCCATCGATAACTGCTAAATACTTGATTCAACAATAACTGACTGTATGAATGGTACTACATCATATAATAGTTCAAAATAATCGCGTTACGCTGCGCTTTCATCGTTTATACACTACCAACTTTACATAACTGAATAAAGACACGTCGCATATTTCCATACATATAAATTAGCTACATTCTTATTTACTTTACGTTCGGAAAGGACATAATTGATTCCACAGCTTTTTTTTGTTTATAATATTTACTACGAAACGAAACAATACAATAAAAGTTGAATAAACATTTTCTTTATACAATTTGGTTTGCTTCTGGTTGGTACTTAGAATCACTGAATCTCAAACTAGATTTAATTGTTCTATATGTGATTCATCATAGCGCTGTAATTATCATGCAACATTGAACATTGTTTTAAATTATGTTATATTACAAAATCACTTTAGCAAGATTAAATACATATTATACATGAAAATTTATGTAAATAATTATATACATGTAGTATATATATCACATTGATACATATACAATATTACATAAATATGTGCTATTAATTAAAAAAAATAAGATATTGTACCATTAATGAAAAAATTTTAAATATACAATAATACCGAGAATAGCTATTTCTAACAGTATAATTAGGATTAATACAAATTTATTCATTAAAACTTTTCTCCGCATAACATTAAGTATTCTTCTAGTTTTATCTAACTCTTCATCTGTTTGTGATAATCTTCTTTTTGTTCGTATCAATCTTTCTCTTTGTTCACCCAATTCAGAAATCACCTCTGTACCAATTTGTTCATTTTCAATGGCCAAGGCTTGAGATCTGACAACAGATTGTGCAGAACGTGCTAATGCTGCATTGCCTTCTAATAATGTTCGCCGATGTTCCTCTTCCCAATTGATACCGAAATTCATTGTGATTGAGTGTTAACAAAGATGTTTGCAACGATGTACACAATTCACTCAAATTTCATAGTCCATCATAATATTTATAAATTCACTTTCATTGACTAGAAACATAAGTAAAAATTATAAAATTGTTTATCCTACATACAAGTTAAAATGAAATACATAAATGTAAAATTTAAATTTTAACAAAGATTTAATAGAAAATAAAAATTGTGTACTAGAACCATCTTGGTTCAAGTCAAATTCTTTAATCATAAGCTCCATTTCTTCAAAAGTAAGATTACAATCAAGCTTCGTATTCAATGTTTGTAAATCTTCTAACGTTATTTCATTATTTACAGAATTATTTGTAAACAACTTGAATACAAATTTAATTTCGTCTATAGGATTTCGTTTGTTTAACTTTTCTGACACTGTATAAATATTAAAACAAATTTAATTAATAAAAATAAAAGATATTTTGATCAATATTTTATCACACACACCAATGTAATTAAAATCTTCAAAACTTATTTTGTTATGACCATGTTTGTCGTACATTCGCATAGTTGCTAAAACATAAGATTTTTTAACTGCAAAACCTAAAGCTTTCAAAGCAGCTTTCATTTCATAATAATCTAAATAACCATCAGAATCACTATCCATTAAATAAAATGATTCTTTTAAACACTCTTTTCCACTAGTTCTAAGTTTACTGCTTATGATATTTGCCATTATTGAGTAGCAACTAATTCTGTTTTACTAGAATTATATTATTAATGTTTACCTTTTTTGATAATTCACAAAGAATGACCTTCTCTTGTTACTGGCGAATTATAATGCAATTTTGACCAATATATACAAGCTTGTTTTTAATGTTCTTTTCGCCCATGTATTTACATCAAAATTTTTGGACAATTGGAAAGCTATCGAAAAAAATTCAGCTGTATACACATTCAATTCTGTAAAATTCTGTATGCGAATGACAAGCATATGAATATGTATATATATATATATATATATATATAGGCGATTTCTATGATAAGAATCGTGTTACCTTTGCATTAGAAATAGGCTTTAAGGAACTAACAGGTGTCACTGATCTTTAAACTTTAAACCGGCATTGCTGTAGGGTTTAGTAGCGTTTATATTCTGTTGTTTTTGTAATAAATGTTACTTTAATCAGTAAATATGACACGAATTACATTTCTGCATCCTGATCTTGGAATTGGTGGAGCAGAGCGGTTAGTGGTTGATGCTGCATTAGCTTTAAAAAAGAATGGTCATGAAGTTAATTTTGTGACAACTCATCACGATCCAGAGCATTGTTTTTCTGAAACAAAAGATGGAACAATACCTGTAACAGTTGTAGGAGACTGGTTACCCAGACATATTTTTGGTAGATTTTTTGCACTCTTTGCTTATATTCGTATGGTGAGTTTTTTTCATAACATACGATATATTTTATAAAATCTTATATATATTTCATAGATCATTTTAAAATATAGTGTTGTATTGCTTTTACAGATATATGCAGCTAGCTACATTATTTTCTGCACAAAACGACCTGATATTGTGTTTTGTGATTTAGTTTCTGTATGTATTCCTATTCTTCGATTAAGAATTCCATCTATAATATTTTATTGTCATCATCCAGACCAACTGCTTTCACAGCCAGAAGGCATTAGTAAACAACTATATCGAGCACCTCTTAATTATCTAGAAGAAGTGACAACTGGAATGGCACATAAAATATTTGTAAATAGCATATATACACGCAATGTATTCAAAGATACCTTTAAAAGATTACATGTTGAGCCTGAAGTTTTGTATCCTTCCATTAACACAAACTTTTTTGATAAAACTCGAGTGGTATCCTTAGAGAGGGTGCTTGATAAAAAATTACCAGCAGATAGTATCATATTATTGTCAATTAATAGATATGAACGTAAAAAGAATTTAGACTTAGCAATAAATGCATTAGCAGAACTTGAGAAGTATTTAAGTGAGGAAGAATATAAAAAAGTATATTTAATTATGGCTGGTGGATATGATAAAAGAGTTGAAGAAAATGTAGAATATTATTTAGAATTAATGGGACTAGCTGATGAATTAAATGTTTCGGATAAAATGATATTTCTTCGTTCACCTTCAGATATTGATAAAGTATCTGTTTTACAGCATTGTACAATTTTATTATATACACCTCCAAATGAACATTTTGGTATTGTTCCACTTGAAGCAATGTATTCGGAAAAACCAGTAATTGCACATAACTCTGGGGGTCCAAAAGAATCGATAATTTCCGGGGTAAACGGTTATTTAGTTGATTTATCCGGTGACGCGTTTGCTTCAAAAATAGCTGATTTGATTAAAAATCCAATAAATGTTAAAGAGTTTGGTAAGGCAGGCAAAGATAGATTTATGAAAACTTTCAGTTTTTCTGCATTCAGTGCCCAATTAAACCAGGCAGTCGAAAATTTAATTAATAGCGATAAAAAAGAATAACATTGTCGAATTTAAATCTGTTATTTTTATACATTATGGATAAAATTTTTGACTGTTACATTTTAATTACAGTTTTTATGTTTAAAATGTATGGAAAAGTTACATTGACTATAATTCATTAATAAAATACATTAGCTACTATATTTTTTCGATTGAAATGTATACATGCTAATTGCAATGCAATTGTTACTTGCTGCTGTTTTATTTATATATCAATATATAATATATATTTAATATATTTATATTTATATTTATTATGCACATATTTACATTACATTTAAGGAAACACTGTTGGCTGGTAGATATAAAAAACATTAGAACTATATTACAACCTATTAAGTTTTAAATTAAATATTTTTTAATATATTAACTATTATGTAAAGATTTTATTCTTTGTCCACCATATTGTTAAAGTTTTTATTATACAATTAAAATACAATTATTTTAATGTAATCAGAATATGTTGTATCATTTTTTACATAACAGTCAACATACTAATCTTATTTAATTATTTGTTGCACTTATTGCAAAAACTTATGAAACATAAAATTAATCCATCAATTGTAAACTGTCAAGCTTTTCACTGGAATAAAAACCTGCTTTAACTTGTCTTCCACCAAAAAAGCGTCCATTTAAATCGACAACAGCCTTAATAGCACTCTCTATTCTTTTGAATTCTACAAAAATTCTAACAGCTTCCTCTGGAGCAGCTTCAGTTACTTCATGAATAATAACACGTGCAACATCACCATATTTTGTGTTACATTCATCTTTAACCTCAGGTTCAAGATCATCATCTACTTCCCCAGGACCAACCATGTTGCGTAACAGTACAACCTATTTGAAAGTAACGTATTTTCAAGTAACATTTGATGGATACTTATACAATCAATATAAAAAACAAATGTTTCATAACTCACCTTGCTGGGACATTTCATTATTTCTGTAATGCTAGGTTCTTCAGAAGGTTGTGTAGGAGGAGGTTGTTGTTGTGGAGGAGGTGGAGAAGCAGCAACAGGTGGTGGTGGTGGCATAAGTTGTTCCCTCTCTCCAACAATTCTTCCACCTCGTTTACTAGTTTTTTCAACTTGTAAAGCAACAGACATTCCTTGCTCTTTTTTACCAAGACCTTGTCCTTCTTTAAAACCATATTTGGCCATAATTTTTGCTGCTACAGATGATGTTGCATATCCCATACTAGTTGGTGGTCTTGGTGAAGAGGGTGGAAGATCAGAAGATTCTTGTAAAGAAGGTGGTGGAGCTATAGCTGCACCACCAGCAATACCTCTTGATGTTGGAGTTCTTTCTTCATCTCTTTCGGGTGGAATCATTGTATTATTCCCAGATGAAGTCTAAAATGAATATATGAATTACATCTTGTAAATAAAGTATATATTCTATATAATATATATTATTATATGACATCTAAGTTACCTGAGTATCTTCAAAGCGTGAGTTGTCTCGTCTACGTTTACGCATTTCAGTTTCTTGATCATGTTCTCTATCGCGTAAATCTCTTAGTTCCTTGACAACTTTGTCATATTCATTAGGCCACATAGGATCATATTCATTTACTACATTCCAATCAAATTCACCACCGACTCCAATACTGCTGACAGTACCAGAAGAAAGTGGATTGCTATGTAGTCCGTCATCATCTCTGTCTGTATTTCGATTGGCTTTTGATTTTAAATCTATTACAGGTGCTAATACCGCTGTGGCTTTTCTATATTGTTCACGTTTTGGCTAAAACATAATAGCAATAATTTTTAATATCATTGTAAATACATTATTGCTATATGAGAAATATACCTGTGTAGTGGCAGCTTTTTTTAATTGTAACTGAGACTGCAATAATTTAATGCTGGAGGACCATCCAGCTACTTTTTCTGACGTTCTGTGTTTATCAAAATCGTCATACAGAGACATTGTGTATTATTTTTACAATTCAAGAATGATTATGTTAAAACATTCTTTACTTAAACCCAAACTTATGTTGTTCTAGCGTTCCTATAAATATTATAATTTAAAATAAACTATATTTAAAAAAAATTTTATATTGCATGCTCCTTCTATTGATGTTTAAAGTTCTGTGCTAGAGGTTAACATCTGTAGCGCCTCTACGATGTCATGCAATTATGTGTGTACTTCAGTGCACTTATAACAACTTATAACTAACTTCAGATGTCACAAATGAAAATATCACAACAGTATCCAAAAAAGTATACATGATTATATTTTTTTAAACGAAGGAGAGTAAATGAAAAGTCCATATCATATTGAATAATATATTTTTATATTTTTTAGTCATTACAATGTTTTTAATTACATATTCATTCCACAGTGAACATACTTTATTCAGGCAACTCAGCTAATTTCAGCGGATTTCCTATTACTCATATATGGTTGTCATGTGTATAAAAAACATAGTGTTTACATAATATACATAACATGTCTCAAATATTAAATGAATGATTCAAAAATACTTTATTTCTTTGTATACGCATATATCGATAAATATTAATTTTTTATTTAACGTAACATATAATTTTAGGTTAAAAGACTCTTATTTAACAATTTTTAATTAAATGTATGTATATATAAATATCTGATTATTTGTATTGTAATCGAAAATATTATATACAGTCAAATCAAATGAATTATCAATTCTGCTTTCAAAATTATTTAACCAATAGATATTGAGAATGACTACTACTTTGATGAATCAAAGATTATTTTACATTAATTCGCTGGTAGTCAATGATTTAACGAAATTGTAATATTTTAATTAATAGTTCATGTAACGTTTATTCGGTAAGGTAGAATTTTAATTAAAAAAACTGAAAATTTCTAAAATTTAGTTGACTATGATAGCCGCATCATGGAAGATAGCGTTCATAGCTACAATGATGTTTGGCGGGTAATATAGCATAAATCTAGAAATATAGGGACAAGATAGAAACTATAGCATATAATAGGGTCAGAGCATAAACTTGAGGGGGGAAACCATTGTGCGACGAAACGACAAAGTAAACTGATGTCCAGTTTTGATTGGCTGCCATTTGGTACAACTTCAAACTTTAAAATGCAAAATTTTTTAATTTGATATTTTTCAATGTTTAGGTAAATTTGAAAGTTTCTAAATGAAACATTTTTCAAATACTGCATGTGTATAAACAGTTAAAATCTGTAATAACCAGTGATTTGTGGTTTCTTATAATTGGGGGTACAGAAAAGTAACCAATCAAATTTGGGCATCAGTTATTTGGATCTTTCTCTTATGTTGGCCCTGTTTTTCTTGTGCATAATCCAACCTTGCATTCCAATCACTATACTTTTAGGTCCATGCAGCATAGCGGTGATTGGCCGGTCTTCCCTCCTGTAGTCAATGGTCGCCGCAGTCATCCGGCTGAGTATCGGTTCGAGTTTTCCCAGGAAAACACTTCTTCCCGCGGACCCATTGTCTCCAACGCGTCGGCAAAGCCCAACGAAAAAGAGGATTCATTGCGCATTTACACCAGGCATCGAAGGTAAGCTTATATATTAGCAGTAAACGATGATGCTATATGTCGCTACGATACTCGAGTCCGCGGTTCTTTCTGTGCGATTCCACACGTGGTCCTCGATTTTGCTGATTCAATTTCTTCTTATACCGTAAATGAGTACTTTCTTTCACCCGTCTATTTTGGTAGGAAAATTTATTTTCATCGTTGAACGTATCATTTTAGACTTTATTATGCATGTGTATCCCGCTATCGACGATTTTTTCTTTGGTCAGGCAAAAAGAGCGCAGTACGGCGTCAGTCTTTGGATGCCATCTTCGCGCCGTGGCGTACTTGCGTACCACCACTGCAAAGTGGGGGCAAGAGAGCCACGTTGTACGATAGACGACAATTTCTAAGGGTTTTGTACATTCCGAATCGAATATATTTTAGTAAAACATTTCTTTGTTGCTAGCGTGTTTGAAACGGGAACAATGCCCTTGTACACGGCGCCTCTTTACGACACGTGTATCCTGCATATTCCTAGTGAATGGATTACACGATGCCATTTTATATTGTTATTTAAAATAGCTTATATTTCTTCAAAATATTTTATCGCTTATTCGTTAAACTTTTTACATTCTTTGCAGATCAAAGATAACGCCAGCTGTTTCACTTTTTCTTTTTTTAGTCTTTTCCAAGCTCTCACAGTTACTGTGCTTTGTTTTTTGTATTCCATTCCTTGCTATATTTTGAGGAAGATGAGATGCTTACATATAGTATAATGAAATACATTTTTACAGTATAGATTTTGATTTCACAGTTTATTATCTTTGTTATTGTTGATAAGTAATCTGAATGATTTCAAATTTAAAAAATTTGTTAAGTATTCTAAGTTTTTTTTAAATTATATATATTTGTTTGATATTTATCATAATATTTTCTATAAGTCTTTTGTGTACAGCTTGTGTTGTTACTATTGATGAGATAGTATTATAAGTTGTTGATTTTTAATTATATTATTTATTTATCATTTTAAATAATATTTATTCACTTCCAATTTTTTGATCGATATAATATACTGTAAAAATCAATAAGTAGATCAACTTTTGTTATAGATTTATAAAAAATGAGTTCAAGTGCGTGTTATAAATGTAACCGGATGGGTCACTATGCACGAGAGTGTCCACAAGGTAGCGGAGGTGGAGCGAGAGGCGATCGTGGACGTGATCGAGAAGGTGGTTTTGTCCGAGGACGTGATAAGTGCTACAAGTGCAACCAATATGGACATTTTGCACGCGAATGCAAAGAGGATCAAGACCTTTGCTATCGTTGCAGTGGCGTTGGGCACATTGCAAAAGACTGCCAACAGGTTATTATAAATACAATTTACTTGTGTATATATACATGTTCACAGAGTTCAACATATTACTATCTTTACATAATAAGTCCTAATGTAATATTTTGTCAATTTGTTTATTTCAATGTAGCACAATATTTCATACTGCATTAGTATGACAAGATAATATCGTAACCTGTGTTGTTCTCAATAGGGGCCTGAAATGAGCTGTTACAACTGCAACAAGACTGGTCATATTGCACGTAGCTGCCCAGAAGGTGGTAACGACTCTGGACGTTTCGCGATGCAAAGTTGCTACAATTGTAATAAGACAGGTCATATCGCTCGTAACTGCACCGAGGCTGGAGGCAAGACATGCTACATGTGTGGCAAACCTGGTCACATAAGCCGTGAATGTGATCAGGACGACAGGAAGTAGGAGATAACCGGAATCCGTGCCGCTCGCTTAACGATAAGCCGTTTACCGTCGCGCGCGCTACTACCGGGAATTGTAGCTAGGTAGGGATGTGCGAACCTATGTCTCGTTAATACGTATAATTCCTAAAAAATGCGTTCCGCCATAGCCGTTCGAATCTCCATCTCTCTACGCTCAACTCCCGGAAGCCCATTTTATTTCTAGTTTCCTTCCCCTCTACATGTCGTTGTTCTCTTCGCAAGGGTTTTTTCTTATGACATCTTTGTTCTTTTTTATTGCTGTTACATTACACCATACATGCGTGCGCGCGCACAAAGTACATTTACACATAGGACACATTCAGCATTACATGAATACACACACTATACGATGTAATAATATTATAAACATTCAATTGAATTAGAGTAGAGACATGAATCCTCTGTCCCCTGACCTTCGATCTATCTCGTACGCGCATTGTTTTGCGATGCAAGATGTATGGATATTTTTTATGTGATTCGTAACAAATTTTACAATTACAACACCCTCGGTCATATCCGGTCAAGTTGAATAATTCATATTGAAACAAGAAAGACTATTGGACGATCGAATTAAAAAAGATCGTTGTTTCTTTGATACGTTAAAGGAATTGAATGATCAGTTGGACTTATGTTATCTTCACGCATCCACGCATCTTGTATCCGGTCCTCCCTCTCGAACTCTCTAGCAACTCGAGTTAAGAAAAAAAAAGAATTCAGAATTAATGGGAAAGGAAGTGAACATGCCGGCCCTGAATACATATAAGTAAGGTTTAGTAACGCCAATTTTTGATGTGTAAGGATGTAATGAGGATCGTTGAACTTATTATTTTATAACAGACCTAGTTTCAGATATTATAACAAAAACTGCACAATTGTATGATTGTCAGTGTTTACGAGTTTATATACAGTTATACTTGGGATATTATTCTAGATTCTGATGAACTAGGACAAAACAAAGCGTGCTTTGTATGTCAGACTCATTAAATGAATTACACGATTACCGAAATGATCATCAATGATTATTACAACGTATATATGTATATATACATATAAACACAGAGGTCTATACAAGTTTGCACATTTTGTATGTACAATCATAATTGTTATACTGAGGATCACCATTGTTCATATTGCCAGTGATTGTTACGGACTTTGAAGAATGCAGTTGCATTTTACCTTACTATATCCTTACATATGGTGAAATAATTCGTTACTAGGTATATGTATATGTATATATATGCGCATATGTGTATACATATATACATACATATGTGCAGGAGCTGTATTTTGTACTGTAAAAAGCTAGATATACTCTGGTCGTTGCTGGTGACTAATTCCGATAATTCTCTTATTTATACATCACAAACAAACAAAAATAACGCAAAAAAAATTATATTTTCATGTATAAAGTACTACACTTATCCTTTTTATAAGTTGTAGAGTGAAATTTTTAGATACAATTTATCTATTATCTTCTTTTTTGTCGAACGTTTGTTGAAAAATCATGAGGCGAAAGAAGAAAAGAATCACGTTGCGGATTTGGAAGTATCTCATTGTGAACACCGTAGTAGAAGATTATTATGTTACTTATAAGTACAAAGATATGCAAGGTTTTTCTAAAAAACGAAAAAGAAGAAAAAAGGAAGGAGAAGAAACAAAGAAAACGAGTGTCTAATAGGAAGTAAACTAGACTGCAGCAAATTTGACGGTGATGCCGTATTTAGAAATATGGAGCCAGTGTTGTTGGGATATGAAATTAATTGAATCCCTTTAATTGAAATTCGTTCTGTCGAACGAGCGGTTCAATTTGAATTAACGTGAAAGATCGTTCTCAGATCTTTGTTCAGTCTAGGTAGATTCGATGGGGACGTGTTGTGCACGCTACGATTTATGTAAATTGGGGATATGCAGGTACCTGACATGTTGAGTTCGATTCGGATAAAGTTGGACGGGTATAGGGACTCGAGTTACACGAACTTTCAGTAGCCCCATTATTTCGGGCCTTGAGCGCCAAGATTCGAGCTGACCCGATTTTTGACGATTTCACCCGAACGTAATGGGGTCACCCGAGGGGCCGCATGTCTCGAGTCCGAGCTTATCCCACTTTCTTCGATTCGACTTGACACGTTTGATTGCACGTATGTCCCTAATGTAGACGCATTTCATCGAAACGTTCTTTTTAAACGATCTATTAGAACAATGACGAATCGTCGCGTGCATGCGATCCAATTGATGCTTTTACCAGCAGCGACGCGTGTATTAATGTTCAGAAGCCAGGCGTGCCTGACTCGGTGAAACTGAAACGCCTCGTGCGTCACATTGCGTAGTAGAGGTGTCCTGTAACAATTTTATACACTTAACTGTTCGGGACTTAAAAACCGATCTCATACATGGTTTTGGTAGTAGTAATCAGTGCGCTAGTGCGTCTGACGAGATTTGGAGGATCAAAAAATTGTACTTCGCTAATGGACCGTAACCTTTGGTGCTTTCATTGGATGCACGATTTAAAAGTAATTGACCGAAAATCTGTATGAAATATTTTTTTAGTTTCTTTGTTTCTGTGATCGATGCGTTGTACAGTCTCAATGTACGTGCACTCGGGTGCGACGTTAGGCTTCCTTTGAATAAAGACGAAGGTGGGGCGAAGGCACCCTTGTTCTCGATTTTGGAAGAATATGTAAACTTTGAAACTTCTAAATTCTCAAACTTCGGAATTCTTAAATCTGTAAAAGTTGCTGTTTTCCAAATTCCTACATTTTCATATTCTAAATTCCCAAATTGTTAAATTCGAAAATTGACTAAAATTGAAGGGTACACCTTTTCCCTACGTCGTCATTTTCCTCAGGAAAGTCGACCATACTCTCAAGTGTACAATGTTATATGATATGTACCGTGATACAACGATGCCTTACTATGTAGGGTGTCGTAGAGGAAAACATACTTCGAGGATATACAGTTTAGGTGTGGGGTTCATTGGTGGCACCGGAGGTTCACAGACGAGCATAAAAAATGAGTGCGATAGGGCACCTGCGCTTTTGTCTCTGCTACAAGACTTACGTACGAATATTGTAAAGAATACGACTGTTACAGTGTATGAACTAATTTTGATCGGTGTACGGCCGATCACGGCTCGACTTATATTAATCTATTAATACTTAAATGAAGAAAATGAAGAGGATGAAGAGGAAAAAAAAAGAAAATTAAGCTACAAAGTAATAAAGGATTGCGGAGTATTTGAAGTTATGTTTTTAAACTGAATTTTTGAAATAGAATGTGTACGGAGAGGCAAAGACGAGATCTTGTTTTTCTTTTCTGTTCCCTACATGCTTGATCAGGTGGCTTGTTCACCTATTTATTTGAGGGGTACTCCTGCATCTAAAATTAAGGAAGTGTACGATATATGACATACTTCATGTACTATTTATGTTTCACTTGAAAGAGGAGATCAATTACTAATAAAATGTAAATGTATAATTTCCTTTTCAGTTGTTGATCCTTTGTACATGTAACGTTTTCGTTTTCTTCAAATTAAATATTTAATTCATTTTCTTTCGACACGTGTACGTATACAAATATGGATGCTTTAATTTTTCATTCTATAATTTGATATATGTATATATTCAATTGTCCGTAATTTTATCTATTATTCAGTTTTAAAAAATCATTCGAAACAATTGAACTTAAATAATTGAAAATCGTACAAATTTTATTTTTATTGTACGTGTCCATGTTAATATAATTAAATATTTAATTTATTTACTTTTTATATATTAAGCATAAGTACTGGATAATTATTTGCTAACGATATTTCTCATGAATGCCTATATTTCTTAATAGGTTGAAATATGCGGTACATTCATGAAAAGTTGGTGATAACGAAATTAATGATACGAAGCTTATCACCAGACTCGTTGCGTGCATGTGAGCCAGCTTCAACTATATACTTCTCGAAAAAAACACTGGTTTAAATAAATATGAACCAGGTGTATAAGCATAGAATTCTTGAAACGATATTATAAAAGTAAATTTTCTTATATTTATAATTAATCAAAATTCTGTCTGATGAACGACTTGCATGTCTACACGCGGCGGCCCTGCTTATCGCCAAAAAGAAGAATGCATGCTACTTATTTTTATGTCCTGCTAACAAGATGGTATAAATAATGTGTATCGTCAAAAGTCAATTAATAATCATTTATTTTTCATTTAAATGTAAGAAACTTATAAGATTAAATACTTAAAAATATATAAAACATAAGAAATATTTGTTCTAACGTGAAGGAACGGTGGAATTGTGAAACAAAAATCTAGGAACACGGAACAGGTGCAGGAACATGTATCCGGTCCGTGTGATTTTCCCCGTGCCCTCTCACCTTAATCTCACGTCTGTCAAACGATCGTGAATTTTCGGAAGATGTGAGGCTTCGGAAAGTGGGCACGCCAAGAAAATCGCGTCACGACATTCGCATGATGCCCTCACGTTCGAAATACATTACGGCCGCCGATGCTTCGATTTATTTGCGGTAACAACGAGGAAGCATTTGACGAAAAAGGGAGCGAAGTGATCTTGGACGGTGCGCACAGCAATGGCCACGACAGAAGGAGTCACGATAGAGGAGCTCAGGGCCGAGATCGAGAGGCTATCTCGAGAATTAGATTTAGCTTCCACAGAAAAAATACAATCTGCTCAATACGGTCTCGCTTTACTCGAAGAGAAGTCCACCTTGCAACAAAGATGCAACGATCTCGAGGCCCTCTACGAAAACACAAAACACGAGCTGGAAATCACCCAAGAGGTTAGTTCACTTCTCTTTTTGATTTTTCGTACACGTGAATTACTTATTTGTCAATTGCTTAGGAATTTTTCTATTGATCTATTTTAAAAATAATTTAGAAGTATTGGAAACATATGGCCAGTGCAAATTGGAACGTATTCATTAAACACTAATTACGTTATGTGCTAATTAGACAATTAAATATGCAGCAATTTTATAGACCCATTCGTCACTGTCATTTCATAACTTTCAACATTTCATATTTTTTGTATGATGTTATTTATGCACATAGTGATTTAAGTGTGTCTTTTACTTTAATAGGCTTTAGCAAAGTTCCAAACGACCACAAAATTGACTACAAAAAGTGGCATAGAACAAGAAGAGAGTCTCCTTAACGAAAGTGCTGCAAGAGAAACATCTCTTCAGACACAAATCATTGAATTGGAAAATGAAACCAAGCAAGTACGTATTTGATTCCTGGGAAAAGTGTATCAATAATAATACTGAAAATTAAATAATTTATATTTTATATTATCTTTTTTTCAGTTGCGCCATGAGCTGGAACGTGTACAAGCAGAACGTGATCATGCGTTGCAAGAAAGAGAGGAAGTTGGGAAAGATCACCAACAAGCGGAAACAGAAAGGAAATCTTTACGTACTATGTTACGTGAATGCAGATTTCGAGAAGCTAGGCTTCTCCAGGACTATTCGGAATTGGAAGATGAGAATATTTCATTACAGAAACAGGTATCTGGTTTGAGGTCCAGCCAAGTAGAATTTGAAGGTGCCAAACACGAAATAAGGAGATTAACGGAGGAAGTAGAACTTTTAAATAGTCAAGTTGAAGAGTTAACAAATTTAAAAAAAATTGCTGAGAAGCAAATGGAAGAAGCACTTGAATCTTTGCAAGCTGAACGTGAAGCGAAATACGCATTGAAAAAGGAGCTGGATCAAAGAATTAATAGTGAATCAATTTATAATCTTAGTAACCTTGCTCTTTCTATTAGAGGAATTACAGAAGATCAAACAATATGTAGTGATGGAGAAGATGATTCTCCTGCATTACGTAGAATTGAAGCAGATCTGAAGACTCAAGAACCAGGTACCTCTGCCACTGACAAACAAGTGGATTTGTTCTCTGAGATTCATTTGAATGAATTGAAGAAATTAGAAAAACAGTTAGAACTAGCAGAATCTGAGAAGGCTCATCTTACACAAAATTTGAGGGAATCACAGTATGCAGTTGAAAAAAGTCAGAATGAAGTACAATCGTTTGTTGCGCGTATAGTGCAACTGGCAGCTCATGTACAATCGTTACATCATCTTCATTCTAAATTGCCCGAAAAGCAAACCGAAGAAACGACGTTAGATAAGTTGAATCAGGTTTGTGTACAAGATATATCAAAGTAACTGTTTTCACTTCGTTTTAATACTCGTTCTTGTTGCAGGCAATTATGCAATACCACCAATGGAGTACTATGTCCGCGAGGGAAGTTAATCAACTTCAAAAGGATTTAGCTGAATTAGAGAATGGTTTAACTATATCTGACTCGACCCAACAATTACGAACAGAATTAACAAATCTTAGAAACAAGGTATATAATTTTTTACCATTTTTTTTATTCTTTATATTATTTTTTTTAATTGCATCCGTTCATTATCATTCTTTTAATATTTTTTTTATTAAATATTTTTGATCTCGTGTATTTATAAATAGCATCATTACAGCAAATGTTATGAAGAGTAAAAATGTAAGTTAATAATTTAATTCAACTTAACATTGATATTTTACTGATAATAACTGAATACATATGTGTAAATAACAAGAATAAACTGTGACTCTGGCACAATGACGCTTAATATTCAAAATTTAGAATTTGAACAGAAATTATGGCATTTCAGATCCCAGAGTCAGAGAAGAGCCTTCAAGAAAAGGTTGGAACGTGTGGTCCCTTTGACGTATTTACCAGTTATTTAATAATGATTGTCTTTTGGCTCCTTTAATGATCCGTACAGATTGCTTATCAGTGTCCTAACAATCCATCGTGTATTGCTTTTGATAATTTCATATTCTTAACTACGGTCGTTCCTGTAACTACTTACGAATATATCATCATTTCACGAATTGAAGACTCCTTTGTGAAAATGTTTCCAAATTCTACATATATGTTTTAGCCTATTGTTTTCACAAACGGGTTGTCATTTATTAGCGTCTATATGAATGTTCTTATTAAATGCTCGAACAAACGTACGGATCTCAATCGCTATGCACTCTGTGGCTTTAAAATAGAATGTGCTTAGGAAGAAAAACTCAACGGATACTATCCTATTCATTTCATTTGCATCTAACGTAGCATGAGTCAGACTCACAGAGCCTATTTTGCACGACGTTCGAAAAGAGATTATGTCACACAGTCTTGCAAAATTATTTCACTTGACAAGTACTGTTTCCCTGAGTTGTACGAATCTGACTTTATAATCGAAGTTTTGAAACTGATATATGTAAAATTTCTCTGAAAATGCAACGAACATCATTTATATAGTTGCAGCAATTAAGGGGAGAATAAATATACAAACTTTTTATTAAATTTCAGCTTTTAGATACAGAACAAAGAAGCATGCAACTTGAATCTGATATTGCTACCCTTTCGAAACTCGCAGTAGAAGCCGGTGGTTTCCTTGATTCTGCACAAAATGACTTGCAAAATCTTTCTGACGAGCTTGCACAACTTTACCACCACGTGTGTACGGTTAATGGACAAATTCCATCACGAGTGGTCCTGGATCACGAAAAGATTCCCGAAAAGGAAGAAGAAAATGGAAAGATCGAGTGGTGTAGGACATTGTTCAAGACCGACATTCAGATAAAAGATTTGGAGAGCCTTAGCAAATCGAAAGAAGTTGCGAAACACATAGAAACCGCAATGGATCAAATAAAGCATCTTAGAAGTGCTGTAGAACACACGATCGAACTTTCAAAGGGTTCAGGAATGCAATCGAACGTATGCAACGTTTGCGAAGGCAAGTTGAAGAAATTGTTTATCCATTTTTGCTTACTCGCTTGACATGTATTTTGTAATACATTATTTCTTCCCTCACCGTAAATTGTAGGATCAGTCAATGAGAATAAGGCAGAGGTAGCTGATTTACAAGAACAAGTAATTAGATTGAAAGCTTTGTTATCAGCTAAACGCGAACAAATAGCAACGTTGAGAACAGTATTGAAGTCAAATAAGAACACAGCTGAAGTAGCGCTTACAAATCTAAAGAGCAAGTATGAAAACGAAAAGAGTATCGTTAACGAGACCATGTTGAAATTGAGAAATGAGCTTAGAATGTTGAAAGAGAACGCTGCAACATTTTCAAGTAAGTTACTCATAAAATAAATTTTACGATAATGTACACGTAATTTATATATAGTAGAGATGTTTATATTATTTTTAAACATTTTTTTATTTTTCGTTCTACTAACATCATCGTGTTAACGTATTAACATAATACTAATGATTATTATTAGTATTCATGTATATTTTACTACTGCTAACTAGCTGCGCTACGATTGATTACGCAGTTGCATTAAGAGTTTGCCAACAACGATATTGCTTTGTTTCGTAACAAATATGTTAATATACATTTTTGTGTAAATAGTATATTTACTAACGATATAAAATTTCTGCTGTGACTTTCTATTTCTTAACGTCATACTTAAAACAATTTTTAAACATCTGATTATATTTGAGTATAACTATACTTATTATAACTAATTTATTACCGTTCTTCTAATGTTCATATTTTCCTTCATGTGCTTCTACTTGGTGTTAATACCTGCTAACCACACTTCTCAGGTTTACGTGCGATGTTTGCCGCACGTTGCGAGGAATATGTAACGCAGGTCGACGAGTTACAACGCCAGCTAGCCGCGGCTGAAGACGATAGGAAAACTCTGAACCAACTTCTTCGACTCGCTGTGCAACAGAAGCTTGGTTTGACCATGAAGTTGGAGGAATTAGAGGTCGATCGGGAGTTACGGAATACTCGAAGACACGCAGCTAGTGCAAACGGACGAGGTAGAATGCGATTGTCGCAACAGACGAACCGTCCTCACTTAGGCAGAGATTTCTTCTAGAAAATGGTGAAGATGTGGAGCAAGTTATTCTGAGACAAACGAGGATCTTGAACTTTTCAATTTTTTACTGCTCATCGTCGAATCATGTGGACACAGAAAACGCTTTCTTTAAGATTACTTTTAACTACATGAAATCATTTAGCGTTACACGTTTCTTTATCTGATCATTCATAAACGTAGAGTAGAAACTGTACAGAAACACGTTCTTGTAATACGTAGCGAAAATATTTTTACAAAAATTCGTACAGACGTAGATCGTTTGCTAGGAAACATTTTTCATGCTGTGAAGGGCACCGATTTTTTTAAAAGACGTGGAGCAGGTCGTTTGGAAAGCTTTGAAATGTTCATATTTTCTTGTATTCGTATTGCTCCATATCGTAGAGTTTTTAGAAAGCTCTGCCTTCTGTTACCAATATTGTTAGTAGAGATGTTTGACGAGCACAGAATGCATTTCTGTTGCAAGATTTTTTTGGTGAAACATTCTGTGCTTGGAAATTCATTCGCAGAGAATTACCGTGGTAGTTCCTGCGAATGGGACGCTTATCAATGTTTAATGAATTGATTTTTAACCAATTACCCTTTCTTTTTTAAGAAAGATATGTTAATTGTATATGTGTTTCTACGTTTTAGAAATTTTTATTCTTTCGTAGTTAGGTTTTACATATTTGAGTATGATATTGTGTATCATCGTAACCACGCAGTAACTAAATCCGTACGGATGGTTCATATGGTTGTAGTAACTATGAAGCAGATACAAATTTTTTGTATTAACGGGGATGCATGATAAAATGAACGTACATTGTTTTTAGGTAGACAAACGAAAGGAAAAAATGACGAGTTTGCATTGCATACCATAGAGACAATATTAATTGTGCGCGACTGTAGCGTTTATAATCAAAGTAGAACGAGTAGACGTATAGCGTTGAAAGATACAGAATAGCAGAATAACAGAATTAGGGACCCATCTCTAAGTAGCTCCTCTAACGGATTGTTTTTTAACCAAGAAACCATCTACACGTATTCCATTTTTAAAGTTATTTTTAAAGTATTTAACGAATGGCATTTTAACTTGTTTTGGTAGTAGGTTGTAACAGTACTATACGAATTAATTATTCCTGAACTGGAGAGAATCTTTTATAGTGTTCAATCATGAAACTTGGCCTAAATAGGCTTTAATTCAATTCTATTGAATTTGGCAGCTTTTATTATTGTTTATAACTATTAGCAGTATATAATTGATTTATTTAGTATTTTTTAATCGTTGTTAATTTATATCTAATTTATGACAGTTTTTCAGTCCAGCAGCTATTGATATTGATTTTGATGCATAATATTCATAGATCTCTTTTTCGATGCAACCAATGAAAAAAGCAGACGCATCAACAAATATAATCGGAGATAGCTGTATAATGTCCATTAATATACATGCTCCTTTCTCTGTTACATTTAATACTCCTGCTGATTTTGTATATTTGTTAACACGAAACTGCGCCGTAGCTTTCAGTATATCTATTTCTTCATTTCATTCTGCGCAAGGCAGAATGCGTTACGAATGCAAGTAAAAAAACTACGAGAGCAAAGTGGTAAAATATTGTTTATTTATCATGTTTCTGTTTGCATTTACGAACAGTCTTAGGTGTATCTGATATCTCTGCGATTGATCAATATGTAATTTGATTAACGTGATTTCTGATCAATCGTTTGCGCAAGAGAGCGTGGTTGTGTGTGCATTTTAGTGGAGTTTCTAGCATAATGTGCATGGTACGTTGTGCAGGATACTTGAGCGCAATATTGATGCAATTTTACACGTGTCACAGTTTTCTATAATCAAGATAATTTATAATTTTTGAGACTTATTATTATACAACGTTTATTGGAACACGTAATATTTATTGCAATATAATTCACGTTGAAACGAATTTACGCTTTTATTATAATAATATTTATTTGAATGTCGTGAAATTTTTATACTGTGCTATCCTGCACGTGTGCGTAACACGTACGTTTATCGTGAACCATCTTTAATCAAATTTGTTATTAGCTATTAGTATTATTAACTTGATTACTTTTATTATCATTATTATTATTATTAACAATATTACAATTATATATATATATATATAGATATGAATTATTGCGATATTGCTGTCAGCTTCGTCGCGGAATCCAGATGAGTACCTAAAGAGAATTTATCGATCGTTCATTGACTATCAATCGATTGATTAGTTGTCACTATAATTATATTTATACCGTATAGTTATTGTATTGCCTGTGTCTATGATTTTCATCAGGAACGGAAATTCTTATTTATGTTGTCTCAATTAACAGTATCTAACAATCAACGGAATAAAATTTCAATCTTATTTGTTTTATGTTTTTATTTCCTACGTTACGTTTCTTTATTTTCCTTATTTATCGTTTCCCGTTAACTATCGTAAGTCTTATATTTTTTTACTTCGAGATAGACACAGGTGGTTCTAATTTGTGTCCATAAACCGAGCCAGCCTCAAGCCACCGTCCCTTTCCTTCCCTTCGCTCCATTGCCAGGAATAAGCCAGAAAAAGAAATTCTTTCTTTTCTCTTACGATCTATCATTAATTACTATTTCTCCTTCCGACTTCGTCCTTAACGGAAAGAAATTCGTCCTCGATTTTTCGCCTTGCCGTCCGCGCTGTCCAAAGGCGACTCAAGATCGTTCGTAATCAATAAGAATCTCAAATTTGTAACCTTCATTGTTACGTAAATTAACCCTTTGCGGTGCGACGTATATTTAGACTCATTAGTCGTAGACTCGATAACAATTTGGATACGGAATTAAATTTTCATAGAGTATTTATAGCAGGTCATAGTATATTTATGATGGCAATTTCATAGCGTGTGAGATGGTAGAATTAAATTCATAGTGTATTTAATCATACTCTAATAATACTGATACCAATTGATTCTTTAAATTAAACTTTCGTTTAGTGTTGAGTACTTTTGAGTACCTGACTATCCGAATGAGTGACCTATCTGAAATATTTAAGCGTTGAGTCTATCTTGAACGTCTGTATACTCCTGAGAATTTCGAGTACCAAATATAGTCATACAATTTAAATAACTCATATACCATTATCAGTATTAATCGTACATTTTTATACCATCATTATTTCTGAAACAAGTAAACATTGAATTAAAATTGTATTAAGTAGTGGACTAGATGTATAGTAATAATTAAACCTCAAAGGGTTGCATTTGAAATCTGAACAGTTCTGGTAATACGAGTATCTTCAATGCGATGTAACTGAACGAAATTAAGTCGTCAAAGCGCAAGCTGTGACACTTGCCAAAGATTCTGTCCTTTCGAGGGATCTTATTCCCTTCACACACACTTGACGTCCTTCACGAAGTTCCTTCACGTTATACATGTACCGAACTCTTTGTAGACATTATATCCTGTTGAAATCTCTGAAGAGCCCGTAGTTCTTTCTGTTACAGATATAGAATGTTAATTAAAAGGAGAAGTCTCCTTTCGTCCATAATCTGCTTTCTGATATGTGAAACTGGTTAAGTTTAAACTGATATGAAAATTTATTCGACAATAACGAACATTTTTTGTGGTTCCAGTTATTGTCTCTTGCTTTATATAATGTGACCAGATAATAGAGTTTTTAATTCTAAATAAAATTAAAGGCTATCAGTAATGTGTATGTAACATTTTGGTTCATTTGGCTTATAACTGATACAGTGACGGATTCAGAGAGAAACCTTAACATACTACAGTTTATAAACTTTAAAAATTCTGAACTTAAAAAACTCCAAAATGACCAAGCTGCAAAATTGAAAACTGAGTTTCTGTATCCGTCTCTGAATCAACATAAAAAAATTGTAAGAACAAGGTTAAACTATTCACATGTCCTCTATTCTTCATCGAGCTTATACGATTAAGAAAAATTGTCTAAACGATCATTTAACGTTATATCGAACACGTTGAAACCGTTATATTTTTACATTCGCGTGGAACTTGATCGAAAAGATGATTCAATGTAATTTAAAGAAAAAAAGAGATAAGAAAAAGGTCCATTTAAGAGGATTATTAAGAACAATAAACGTCAAATGTCTGCCTGTCGAGCTGGACACGGAATTGTGATAACCAGGATGTATGTTAGACAGGCAGATTTTTGCTCAAGGCTTCCATGAAAAGCTCTGATTGCGTCCCAATTCTGGCTCCCTTCCTGGCGATGGTGTGCACGTTTGGCTTAGATATTATACATTGTGACCTGTAATTTGTGGTACAATTGGAAAGATATTCTGTTCGACATTTTGACGAGTTTAATTTGGAGAAATAATTGACAAATATTGTAGAAATTGTATTACCTTCGGTGTTGGGTTGTGACCTTGACCTTGAAAGTTGAGACCAATTTTGTATTGCATTTTCTTCATAAGTGTAATACTTTGTTGTCCAATTTTCTTCATAAGTGTAATACTTCAGTGTATAGTTTCAATACTGTAAAATAACATTATATTTTTGAATAAGTTAAATTGCAAAAAATTGTAACGAAGGTCGTCAAAGTGTAAGAATGAGATTACTTCCGGTTGTACGACAAGCTACGAACATACTGTACGAACATTAGGAGTAAAGAACGTTGGAGTGCCGAGTTAGCTGTAATGGCGTAGGTTAAGCGATTTAACCGATTGCGTGTAATTTGTGCTGGAATTATCAATGGGTTGGGGAAATAATGTAAGGATGCGTTCTAGGGGAATACGATTCGGTTGTACATGTACTTCCGGCCGATGCGAAGCGAACGTCGACGTTCGGGTATTCTATTGCACCTTAACAGGGTCCACGTGTGAATTTAGCGAAAAAATTTTGAGAGATGAAATCAATTCTCTATGTTGGTTTTTTCTACTGCGAGCGTTATTCATCATTGTCTACCATTTCACCGTGAACGTTTTTCAATGTTGAAGACTATCATTTTTAATTAGATACACTATTAGATACATTATATAAAGTTGCTCAGAATATTTAAGGTCTGCATACTTTATGCATTTTGTATTTATATCAACGTAACGTCATGTATTTATAATTTTGATATTTATCATTAATGTAGGAGTTCTTTGTTTAAAGAGCTGCAACATAATTTACATTGTTTTATGTTATTACATTTTATGTTATTAAATGATGTTATTTTATAACATCATAATATTTTATGATGACATTAGAATATTATAACATTATAGAATAACATCATTTATTTTATAACATTATAACATTTTATTATGACATTATAATATTATAACATTGTAATATAACATTATTTGAGACATCATTTATAACATCATTTTGTAACATCACTTAAAACATCATTTTATAACATCATTTTGTAACATCATTTTATAACATCATTCTATAACATCATTTTGTAACATCATTTTATAACACCATTTTATAACATCATTTTGTACATCATTTACATAAGTTTTGCTTTAATACGTTACTTAATGATATTCTACAAATGTTATAATAATTTAAAGTCATATATTGACTTAAAATGTAATAGTAAGATAGCGAAGAGACCAAAAGCATAAAAGTACAGTAATATTGTACGCTTTCTTGTAATGAATTAATTTAAAATATTCTTTTCCATTGAAGAACGTTCAAAATCAATGAACAACGTAGTCTCTTTAGTCTGACAGCGTGCTCGAACAATGGACCCAAAGTCATTGTAAATAATGTAAATGCACATTTAGTGTAACGCCATCGTTTCGACGTACGATAAGACAGAGGAATTAGCGGCGATGATTTGTATTTCTGAACGACTTTCGTATATTTTCTTCTTGGTAGCCGTGTACGTAGCTACATTTAATCATAAGGAACACCATCTGTAATCGTGTAGTGAAATACGACCGAAGAAATTCAATGCAGGAATATTCGTAGTGAACCTTCGCGACCTTTTTTCCCCCCACTTTCACGTTTATTATCACGAACTTAATCAAGACGTGAGCATCGTGTTAATTAGATTATCGATAGTAGACACTTACGTAGATGTTCAACGACATTTATGCAGAGGAGACGATCCGAAACACGTGCAAGATAGATACACGACAGTGTATCTGGTGTTAAACGTTATTAAACCGGGATATTACTCGTATTAGAGATTCTTTTTGTAACATAAAGTGAAATATAATCATTTGTAACACGAATATCTTGTCTCTTAATTAATGTTCCCTTATACAAAAATAATTATCTAATGAATGGTAAGTAATTATGTATTTTTACTTCGGCGCAATGTACGAATTGCTAAATAAATTTTCATCTTAAGTGTTGAACTTTACCAAATTTTCAAACACGCAATTTGCATCATTTTACATTCTCAAACTTCTCATTTTCCATTTTGAGGTTAGCTGTAACTTCACAATTGTTAGTTGAATTATTACATCTGTTTCTAAATTAAATTACCTGTAAAATTTAGACTCATTCATATATTGAATATTCTCTTAACTATATTTGAATGTAGTATGAATTATATCTCCCAATTTTAACTTGCTATTTTCAATAATGTTTACGGACTTATGCATACAGTCAAAACAAAGTAAAATTCAAAAATTTGGATTTTCCCGCGCGTTTAAAACGAGGTTCCGAACATATGGAAAATAAAAAAATGAATATTTCGGCACTTTGGCGACGTAGTATGGTCCCTGAGGCATTTAGAAACAAATTTCTATTAGGGTTTGATGCGTTTTGATGCCTAATAAAGCCAGAAAATGAATTTTTGTCGAATTCGGGCGAAAACGGTACAGGTGGCGCCATCTAGCGGCGAGCGGCGGAACTACGAAAAAACTGAAATTTCGATTTTCTCCGAAATTAGGCAATTTTACGCATTCCTGAGGGTCAGAAATTGTTCTACGACCTCTCTAGAACCTATATAATGCCACAAGAACCTCCTCGGAGCGCTAGAAAAGAAAATAGAAAAATAGGTCAAAACATGGACTAAAAAATTGGCGTCCATCTAGCGGTGAAAGTTGGAACTACAAAAACATAAAAATGCGATTTTCTCGAAAATTAGCAAACTTTGAGTACTTCTGAGGCTCAGAAAGTGTTATGTGATCGCACTAGAAGGAAAATAAAGCAATAAAAGTTTCCTAAAGGCTTTAATAAAGAAAATAAAAAAAATGTCATTTTATGGAGAAAATTTGTGGCGCCATCTAGCGGCGAAACTGCGAACTAAACTGAAAAAACGCGAAACTGCGAATTAAACTGAAAAAACGTATGTCCGAACACGCGTTAAGGGGTCGAATAAAAATTGAATTTGCAGGTTTAATAGGCAAAAAAATGAATAACTTATTCAACAAAAATTGCTTTGAAATGTCTAAGGAAGCATACTACGTGGTCGAAGTTGCGAAATATTACTTTTTATATTTTTCCTTAACGCGTGTACGG